GGGACTGGGAGAAATTTAACTCGTGCCTAGCAGGTGTGGTCACTGCCTCACAGTGGGAGGGGCATCTCCCAAGCTCCCTGTTCTGGGGGTGCTGGGCAACCTGAGGGGTGAGCAGTTTATCCTGGCTTACAAGCTTGTAAGGGGACCACGGTGTGGCTGTTCCCTCTGGGGCAGAGGATGAGCCTCCGGCCAGATGGAATTCAGGCTGAGGACAGTCAGAGGCAGCCTGTCCCCACATCTGGCACCTATGGCTGACCCACCACGTAGTACCCTCTTGAATGGCAGATGTGGGGAGGGTTTTTCATTCCTCTTCTATTTGGGAGGAAAGATTTAATTCAGAGGCAGGCTCTGGTTGAGGCCAACTCTGGCCTGCTGCTGTTTGTGTAAGTAGTTTTGTTATAACATAGCCCTGCCTCTGCATACATACTGTTTGAGGTAGCCTTTGGGCTACAAGAGTAGAGTTGAGTAGTTGAGGCAGAAACCGTGAGGCCTGAAAGCCTAAAATGGCCACTGTGTGGCCTTTTACGAAAGCAGCTAGAAAGCAGCTAGTCTCGGGATGCAAGTGGGGTGTCCTGAGAAGGATGTACAGAATGGGCTAGGACCTAGAAGCAGTAGTGGGAGGTAGCAAAGGCCCGAGCTTGGCTTAGTGCAGACAGTTGTCTAACTGAGGGCTTCAGAAGAGGTCATAACCCAGCTGAAGCTTGGCCCTGTGACAGCCATTTGGTGTCTTTGTCAGAAACAGAGCTGCTGGGTGGTCCAGACTGTCAGGGGAGAAGGGCCGAGGGACCCCAGGCATCCTCCAGAAGCAGCAGGTTATGGAGTGGTGAAATGTCTCAACTTGGCCACCTTAGGCCACAAGGGCCTGTGGGCCCAGAGCTGCCAGACATCTGATTTTCCAGGAGAAGCCAGCCGGCAGTCTGGCTTCCATGGGAAATCTGATTTTTATAGGTCTTCAATTAACTGCATTTTTACAAAGTCATGCACAGAGGCAGGCAGACATGCGCTTAGTCTATGGGCTGCAAGAACGAGAACTCCAGTGTCCAGGGTGGAATGGGGGGAGACATGGAGGGGAAAACATTATGCTGGCCCTGGCCCCCAGTGGACCTTGGTGTCAGGTTTCCTGCCTTGATCTAGCCTACCCCAGAGCAGTGGTGCATTGCAGTATGAAGGTGGGGGTGGGGGGGTGGCCAGGGGCTCGGCCTGGAGCCGGGCCGGCCCCATGGTTCTCTTGCACCCATGAGGTCTGAGACATGGAGCAGAAAAGGAGCATGACAGTGGGGTTTGGTGGCATCCTGCTGTGCCAGTGGTTGGGACCTGGCCTCCTGGTGTGGTCCTGCTCACTGCTACACCAGAGCGCCTACAGCCCAATGGTGGCTGGGCCTCAGCTGTTCACAGCCTTGCATGCACCCCTCACCAATTGGTTTCTGAGTGCTTGCTGGCACCATTGTGGATCTTTGTTTCAGGCAGGAATCTTAGTTGCAAGTGACATCAACTTGAGTGGGTGTGGCTTGAGCAAAGAGAAAATTCCTGGGCCTCTGAACAGGAAAAGGCCCAGGGCTATCCCAGCCTTGGGCAGAATTGGTCTCAGACACTTCCCTGTCAGATGCTATTGTCAGGCCTCTGTATTGCCAGGTCTCCCTGCACTGCTTCCCTCTGTGTGGGCCTCACTCTTAAGCAAGTCCCCTCGTGATGGCAGAAAGGCCCTCAGCTCCTGGCCCCAACTCTCAGGAACCTCAGGGAGGAGAGTAACCCTGGCACAACAGCACTGATCCCAAGGTGGCTTCTTCCTGGGTCTGCTCTGGTTGTGTGGGTAAGAGGACTAGCTGCTCAGTGGGACCTGGCTGTCTTCGCCGATCTTAGCTCATCTTAGCTTTGGGTGGGGGAGATGGGCGCAGTGGATCGCCTAGAGAAGTTGTTAGCATAGGCAGACAGACAGACTGAATGGAGCAGGAATGGGGAAATGCCCTAGGCTACAAGATTCCACGCCCTTTCAGGAGGCAGAATCCTAAAACCCAAGATGGCCTACACCCAGGACCAACAATTAAGATAAAGGCTCTGACTTCTCCTTATGGAACCCCCTGCCTGCATCCAGGTTGCACCGTGCCTTGAGGGCAGGTGCACAACTTTCAACACCCAGGCAGCCATTGCAAGTTGCCAAACCCTTTGGGGAAGAGCCACAAGGTCACAGCCCTGATTTCCTGCCACTTAGTAACCCGACCCTGTTAGATAATAGAAACCTCAAGCTGTGACAATCTAGGGAATCAGCCCTAATTTGTCTTCCTAGCTTTGTAACTTTTTTTTTTTGGTGGCACTGAGGTTTGAACTCGCCGTTTCACACTTACTAGGCAGGTGCTCTTGCTGCTTGAGCCACTCGCTAGCCCATTTTTTGTGATTTATTTATTTATTTATTTGAGATAGGGTCTCAGGAACTATTTTCCTGGGGCTGACTTGGAACCAAGTCCTCCTGATCTCTGCCTACTGAGTAGCTAGGATTAAAGATGTGAGCACCAGCACCTGGCTTTGTGGATCTTTTGCTGCACCAGGGGCAGTTTTCTAACCTTAGAAGGTGTACCCAAGAACTAAGGGAAATGTGGAACACCCCAACTACTGGCAACAAAATCAGGGTACTGATCCCCAAAGGGGAAGCAGAGAAGCCAAACCAGAACCCACCTCCCCCCACCCAATGGTGCATCTTGGGCTGAAGAGGTCATATTAGAGCCCTCTCAAGGCCGTCTACCAAAGGAGAAATAGCGACATGGGACCCCTTCTCTCTTTTTTTTTTTTTTTCATTTTTATTTTTTGCAGTATTGGGGTTTCAACTCAGAGCCTCGCGCTTGCTAGGCAGGAGGTCTACCACTTGAACCATGCCCCAGAATGCCCTGAGACATTCCTAGAGCATCAAATCCCCTCTGAGTTGTAAGTCCCCTGGCAGTCAGAAATAGCTTTGCAAGACAGTGTCCAAAGGGGCAGCTCTGAGTGGCTTGCCTGGTAAAAGGAGGTCCACCCCCAGTGTGGCCTCGCAGGCCAAGTCCTCTACGTAAGACCTTGTGAATATCGGTCGAGTCCCATACGCACAGTTGAGTGGCTACAGATTAGCATAAGCACACGCACAGCGTACCCCATACTACGTGATCACACCGCGCCAATTAGAACTGCCAGCCACCCCAGCCCCTCCCCAGGGACTGCTCAGATTTTTCCCACCTTACAACTTATAATCGGTCTTTAAACAGAGCGATCAATGCTTCCATGCCACCTGGCAGGATCCCCCCCACCCCCTTCTCTTGCATTGCTTCCTCTTAGTCTCTTTTTCTCTCAGTGAAGTTTTGCTACTCTTTTGCAACTTGTGTGTCAGTCCAGTTCTCTGTTCAGGTGACACAAGAATTTGGGATCTTCTGGACTAGAGTCTTCTTAAACCACACAGCCTGGTAACACTCTGGCTGTTCCCCTGCCACTCTGTCTGCTGATATCCAGTCCAGTTTTCCATCAGATCACTTACCTTTCTCAAGTGTGTCCTCTAAAGTGTTGTCAGAGTGCAGTCCCAAGTAGAAACAGCTACACCAGCTTATCTAGCCTTTCTTGCCATCGTCTAGGACAGGGACCCTTTTAAAAAAGGAAAGCCAGCTGGGTGCCGGTGGCTCACGCCTCTAACCCTAGCTACTCAGGAGGCAGAGATCAGGAGGATCGTGGTTCAAATCCAGCCCAGACAAATAGTTTACGAAACCCTATCAAAAATACCCATCATAAAAGGGCTGGTGGAGTGGCTCAAGGTAAAGGTCCTGAGTTCAAGGCCCAGTACCAAAAAAAAAAAAGGAAAGCCAGCCTGTTTGAAGCACCTTGTTCCTTGGGAGCAGCTGTGGTTTCCTAGCAATCTACTTCCTTTTCTAAGGACACACAATTCAGCTGGGTAATGATCCATGGCCACACCTGGCTGGTATGACATTGAGCTTACCTCTCCAACAACCCCCTTGTCCTGGCCTTCCAAAGGCAGGAGTGACTTTTACCCTTCACATCAGGAGCTGCTAGGTCTCACTAGGCCTAGAGATGGGACCATGTCTCAGGCTGCCAGTGTCTCTTGCTTCTTCTAGGTTCCGTCATGACTGTGGTTATATTGTCCTCCTGCTTTGGAAGTCTGTCTCCCTGTTGGTAGAAGCATTTCAAGAAGGAACTGGAAGTCCATGCAGAGGTCCCTGGAGAGACCACCTGGAGGGCTGGGACACTGGCTCTGGCCAGGCCTGGTCATTTTGATTAGCATTGGTTCTATATCGAGAACCACCTTGGAGCTTAAGACGCCTGGACGCCCAGGCCTTGCCAGACCATTGACTCCAACCACTCTAGCATGAGGCTGGGGCCTAAGTAGTTCAGAAAAGTCCATGTGATCCCAGCATCCAGCCAAAGTTTCAGCACCACTGTTGGGGTAGCCCCTGGGAAGCACCCAGCACCTGTGGAGTGCCACCAGCCAGTAGGAGACAGTTTTCTCCCTCCCCAACAGGCCCTTGGCACAAGTGCATGCCAGGAACCAGGGACACTTCCCAAATGGGTTTGAGTTTTGAAAAAGGAACACATACATGTGACACAGACTTCAGGCAACTGGGATTGGGATTGAGGGAAGAAAAGCCTGTCCTCGTCAGCAACACCATTGCACCTGGCTCTTGGATGGACCCATGGAGCTGTTTGTCTCTCTCTCTCCTTTCTGTCTCTCTCTCTCTCACACACACATAACACCCTGCTTCCCCTTCACAAGTGGCAGTACAAGGCACCTGCCCTTTGCACCTTTTGTCTTGCTCTTCCATATCAGAATGCGTGGCTCTGGTCCCTTCTAGTGCCCATGGAGGATTCCGCCGTGACGTCCCCACATTGTGACTTCAGTCTCCTTCAGGTGGCCTGCTTTGGTTGTTAAGGTGGTGCCGGCAGTAGTGACAGGGTGACTCCTGACCCTGGGATTTCTGGGCCACAGAGGGATTCCGTTGCTGACACAGTGTGTCAATTTTTTGTCATTCCAGAAGCCGTCCTCACCAGCGCCCCAGATGTATGAGCTGCCTGCACTGTACAGGACCGAAGACTATTTTCCTGGGGACCCCCAGGAGGTGAAGAATGCAGTCCTCAAGCCCTGTCACCAGCCTGAGCCCTGTGGTCAGCATCTGGGAGCATCGGAGTGATGCTATGCACAAGGCGCAGCTTGGGGTTCTTTTCCTTTTATTGCCATTGATTTGTGTTTGCTTTTCTCCTGGAGGGATCTGGAGCAGCAATGGGGACCTGCGAGTGGCAGTGTCTCCAGGACAGCTACACACCCAACCCTTCATGGGGCCACAGTGAGGGCCCATGCACCCCTGCCCTGTGGCTCATCCCAATAAAGTGTCAAGCGCTCACTCGTGGTCAGGTTGTGAAGACAGTGGGAGGTCGCCTGGTCCTCAGAGTGCACGGGCTGTGGTGAGTGGAGGACAGGCCTGGCCTTGCATTCCAGCTGTGCACAGAGACCAGAGGCTCTTGGTCTCCAAGGTGTGCCTGCCTCCTTTCTCCTGCAGACAGCCTCCTGCCTTACTAACCCTCAAGTTCCTGTGTAGCTTCCACCTGGGCTGCAGATTGCTGGAATTCCTCTCAGAGTCAAGAAAACACACACACACACACACACACACACACACATGCACGCACGCACACACACACACACACACACACGCATGCACACACATAGACACGCGTGCGCGACTGGCCTGCAGGATTCAACATCAGGGAAGTCTAAAATAGTGAACCTGGCAAGATAGCATTAGAAAAGCAAGGAATAAGTTGGGTCATTCCAATTTTCGGAAAACTTTTTGGAATTAAAATAAGGTGGATCCTATGTTTCAGGGGACGCCGCATTTTTCTGTGGAGACCAGTTTTGGAGACCTTCTTTGGGACTATAATTCACACCACAGAAAGGGTACCGAGTGTGGCTCACAAATCCGTGTGACCCCCAACACTGTCGGCACCCAGAAGGATGCTGGTGTTGCTGGATCTGTGCTTTAATGCAAGTGGAGGACAGATGGAGCGTGTGCGGGCTGGACACTGTGCCTGAGGGAGGCATCCCTGTCACTGAGTGGAGCTGCAGATCGTTAATTCTGAGGGCTGCTTTTAATGAAGCAAGCTGCCACACGTGCCCCTGTCTGCTCAGGAGAGCCTAGATTCAATGACAAGTTCACATTTTAGGCAAGCAGTGGAGGAAAGCAATCTACAGGTCAAGTATCCCTTCATTACTGGAAACTCCCAGGCCTCTTGCTCCTTCCAGGGCCTGAACCAGGGGTCCAGGAGAGGCAGAAGGAAACATGTGATTAAGTCACACAACAGACGTATCCTAAACTAGACATGCAGGGCCTGGTCAGAGCATGTAGACTCAGATCAGCCTGCCTGAGTGGCACTTCCATTGTGTGTGTGGCTCAGCTGTGTGACCCTGGCCTTGTTGCTTGCCCTCTCTGAGCCTAGCACCTAACCTGTTGGGCTGCTGCTCAGATGACAGATGTGAGCTGTGTGAGCTGGGCCTTCGGGGCCTGGCAAGGGACACTGGGTAACTGGGGACTGGGTCATGGTGGCTGGGCTTGATCGGGAGGGACTGGCTGTGTGCTGTTTCTCAGGTGGACCAGAGTATCCAGGGGCCTCAACATTGAAGGTTTTAGGGCCTGCCCTTAAATGTCATGGTCAGAACAATCACAGGAGAGTAAGAGTTGCTAAAAGCCACGCCAGCTTTCCCTGGGTCTCACTGTCCTTGAATTCTTTGAGTGTCCTGCAGTCAGTGAGGAGGGTGAGATGCACGAGCCCATTTGTGTCTAGAGAGCTGGACACGGCTGTTCTAATGCTCCCAGAAACTCCAGTGACAAGCAAACTTTCAGGGAAATCTTGGGGACACTTGGGAGACACTGGGGAGAGCGGACGCCAGGACTCAGGACTGCAGAGTTCCCAGACCATCCCCTGGTGCCAGGTGACTTGGTGCATTTCCACTTTCAAGCAGCTGCCTGACTTGTCCACACAGGTAAGTGGAACCCCCAGCTGCCCTTCCCCTGGGGCAAAGGTGACTGCAGCCTAGGAGAGAGGTGACTTGCTTTGTGGCTGCTGCTGGACAGGGCACCAGGAGGAGAAAGGTCACTGTAAATTTTCATAGAGCAAGGCTCCAGGGTTCATCCCTTCCTCACGCACGGACCTCATACCCATTGCAGGCAGGAAGTGTCAAGATGGCAGAATCTGGATGGCAGAAATGTGTGGTTGGCCCTGAGCTGGTTGAAAATGTTTTTATGTTGAGACAACTGGTGAGACATCTGGAAAAATAAAGGGAATTCCACACCTCACGCTGCACACCACGTCTGGCAGGGTTCCAGAATTCCAAATGGATTAAGGAGTTGACTGTCTCAAATGCACCTATGGAGAGTGAGGCCAAACCTGGAGGCCATAAAGGAGGTGAATTTGATTACATATAAAAATTAAAACCTCTGCATGGCAAAACTACCAGGAAACTCAACCCGCAAAGCCCAAAACAAAACAAAATCCTAAGCAAACTCAACACAAATGGCAAACTGGGAAAATGTATTTGCAACTCGTGTTACACAGGGATAATGTCCCTCATATGTAAACAGCACCTGCAAATAAAAGGAAAAGAGAAAAACAGGCAAAGGACATGAACAGGCACTTCATAGGAAAGAATGCCTAAACGCGAGAAGAGAGTTCGTACACCAGAATCACCTCCATGTACGCAGGTTAGTCCGAGAGAAAGCTGAACTCACTCATTCGGCTGGGGTAGCTCAGTGTGCAGCAACTCCTGCCACACCCTAGGCTCTGGCTTCAATCCTCAGCACCGATAAAAAGGGGGGAAGAAAAACCTTCTGGAAATTACTCTGAGGCTGCAAGGGTTGATGACACTGCTGGTGACATTTTGGACAAACATAGGTTTGTGCGGGACACCATTTTCCAGGTCAGGACTATCAAAACGAGAAGTGCCCTTGAGCCGAGCGATTCCACCTCGAGGAATGAGCCAGAAATGACACACACAGGTCATCACTGGCATTGAAACAGCAAAAGGTTGGACAGAACCCAGGTATTCGTCAACATGGGTAGGCAGATGCTGTGGATGGGGTGGTAAAGATGGACGACCAGTCTCTGTGAGTTGCGTGGCTATTGCCGAGCTACGAAACCCAAATGCAGAAAATGGAGTTTGCTGTGTGAAAGAGAGGCATGAAGAGTCTCTGGACCAGACTCAAAAACTGTGTAGATCTGCTGGGGATGACAGGTGTCCCATCCACTATCTTTTGACTTTTTTTTTTCTTTTATGATATTTTGGTGTTTACCTATTTAAAAACTCATTTAAACTCAGCTGACAGCAATTAAAGATTAGGATTCCCCATAAAAAGTAGAGTGTCTGACAGCCCTGGGCTCCCGTGGCAGCAAAGAGCTAAAGTGGGGGCCATGGGGGGGCTGTTCCCCAGGTTCTGCTAAGATTCAGGCACTTCACCATTCTCGTCCACCTGTCTGGAGCCTGGGCCTTTCACATTTGTGACCTTTAACACCTGAGGTCCCCAGGTTGGAGGGAGTTTATTCCGAGGATGCAGGTGGGTGGTGAGGAGTCACAGACTCCCTGGTGGGGCATGGCATCTGTGTGCTCACTGCTGGGAGTCTGCATGGCACTTCTCTCCCCAGTGCCACATTCCTTTGGGGACAAGGCTCTTGTTTTGGGGGTGACTAATGCCAAGTTAGGCATCACAGGAAATCTCCAGGCCAACATATCTCGAATGCAAATGCAAAGCCAACAAAACATCAGCAAACTGAGCCCAGCAATGTAGAAAAGGGGTTATGTGTCACAACTGAGGGTTTCTCCCAGAAATGCAAGGTTGGTTTAACATCTGAAAGAAAATCAATGGCTGTAACACACCACATTAATGAAAACCAACAGTCCTGATTATCTCAGTGGATACAGAGAAGAAATTGACAAAATCCAGCCCCCATGCTGAGCTCATGTTGGGGTTTAGGAAACCTGTGGAAGTAGGCTTAGAGGCTGGGCAAACACCCCTCCCACCAGTGCCCGCTTACAGGGTCCTCAGCCCTGTGTGTGTCCTGTTGGCGCCGGCAGCTACCAGCATTGCAGCAGAATCCCCTTGCCCTGGTCAGGGGCACAGGCACCCTGGGCCAGGAGAGCTCAAAGCTGTTCTGATCACAGGCAGCTGGCACAGTGGCACACAGGCCAGTGGGCTTGCTGTGGATTTAAAAGCATTGAGACTCGGCCAGACAATCATCAGCTGAGGTGTTTCAGGCCCACAAGTAGATGGTGCGGCAGAGGCAGGAGGTGTGTGGACCTGAGCCTTGGTGGGACATCTATGTGGAGGAGTGAGGGGAGATTGCAGGAGAATTTGGCCAGATGAGCATGCTCCCCCTGCCTGCTGGAGGTCACATCTTCCTCTGGAAGGATCTTGCTACTGGGTCTTCCTAGGAGATGCTCAGCTGTGAGTGTGTCAGGAGGCAGGCCAACACCGGTTCCAAAATGTCTGCCGGCTCAGAGTTCAGGAATCTTGCTCAGTCCTGAAGGAGGCAGACTCCTCTTGGGGTAGGTGAATGGGGAAGGTAAACTCTAAGGTGGATTTTGACTTCCAATTCCTAGACTCCCAGATGGCTTGTCACAAGTACCAGGGTATCTGCCTAGGCAGGTGACCCTCTGAGTGGGGGACAGAAAGACCCTGAACTCTTGATAACATCACCGAGTAGCCCTACAGGCCCTGAAGCCCGGGTGGAGTTAGATTTCCTGTCACTTGCAGTGAGAAAGGGGTCTAAGGCTGGTGAAGGCGTCAGGTGACCACTGCAAAGGAAGCCGGCCCCCTGGAGAGCACTGAGGACCAGAGCCTTGAGCGGTATCAGGAGTCCTGCTGATGGGGCTTCTCCCATCCTTCCAGCCCTCTGCACCTAGGAGAAAACCTACAGTGCTAGCGTGCTTTTTAAACACACACAGCAAGTCTTGGGCTTAAAGCCCTCATCACAGGGTCATGGGTAGCAATAGTGCAGTGCTGCATCTTGCACTTATATTTATGGATCCATTCATTAAAGGCAAACTATACTGAATTCCCTTTTTTTGTAGCCTTCCTTTATTTGAAAAGGGGTGTTGAAGGCCAGGGCTCAGTGCAGAGTGCTTGCCTAGCATGCCCAAAAGCCCTGGGTTCCATCCCCAGTACCTCAAAAAAAAATTAATAAAATAAAATTAAAAAGCGTATTAAGAACATAAGGCAAGCTGGGCACCAGTGGCATACGCCTGTAATCCTAACCACTTGGAGAGACTAAGATTGGGAGGATCATAAGTCAAAGTCAGCCTGGGCAAGTTGTTTGAGACCCCCATCTAAAAAATAACCAGAGCAAGATGGACTGGAGTTGTGGCTTAAGTGGTAGAGCACTTCCTTTACGAGTGTGAAGCCCTGAGTTCAAACTCCAGGCCCACCAAAAAATAAAGCAGCTAAAGTAAATAAATAAAACCCATCAGGAGTGTTGGTTGGGCAGGACTGGCACAGACGAAGATGGTGACAATGTGAGTGAATGTGGCTTGGGAAACGCCTTTTTACCCAAGGTCAAGATCGCACCTGTGGCTGGAACACCAGCATCTGTGGACATCGTGGGTCTGGTGGTCTGAGGTACCATCGTCCCCTTTGCTGGGATCTCAGGACGAGTGAAGCCAGGGCAGTACCTGGAGCTGACACTCTCCTGTACTGAGAGCTGGGGGAGGAAAGGGGCCTCTCCAGGGAGCTTTGCTCCCCTCAGGGCAGCAGCAAAGCCGCTGGTAACTGACCAGCAGCCTCTTCCTCCTCAGGCTCCAAGGCGGGTTTTGACTTCCAGGTCCTAGACTCCCAGATGGCTTGTCAGGCACACAGCTGTCACAGCCTGCACCAGTCTAGATGGCAGCTGGTACATTGGAAAAAGCCCTTTATATCCAGCTGCATTATCAATTTCCAAAAGGCATCCAGCTGGCTAACAGAATACCCATTTTCTTCACTTTCAGTAGTAAGACATAATAAAGGTGCAGTGTGGTGATTGTCACCAGGTTGAAGTGGTCCTATGCTTCAAGTGTGATGGCAACCAGAGTGAGGGAGGGGTCTGCACCAGTTGCAGGACACATGCAAGGACACTCACCTGATGACTCTACCCTTCATTCTCAGAGCACAAGTCCTGGAAATGACTATTGATCTCCCATGTCCTCCTCTTGATTTGAGTATTTTGAAAGATGACTTGGCTTTGGAGGGGCAGAGGGAAATGACAGAAATTTAACTGCATGCCTCCTTGACCTGAGTTTGTTTTTTTTTTTCTTCTGTGAGACATGGTCTCCCTGTCAAGGCTGGCCTCGAACTTGTGATCCTCATACCTTAGCTTCCTTAGTGATGGGATTACAGGTGTGCATCACTATAATAAGCTAGGTGCTGATTTAATACAACTCGGCCTCTAAGTTGCAAATGCACTACATTCACATTTAGCAAAACTCTAATATGAAAATGAAGCACACTGATGGGAAGTGGCAGGATGCAGAATTACTAGTTGACAACTCTCCTTCTGTGCAGGTCTGGCTTGGCTTGTAAGCCAGTCTCCCAGCAGTTGAGGAGAGATGCCTTTCTTTCTGGGCCTGACCATTGGTCACGTGTCTCAGTGGAGCTGGTCTTGCTAGACCACCTCTGGAGGCAGCTGATACGCTGGATCATCATTTCTGAATAGTGGCTGCAACCTCTTCCCTGAATTTCTAGTCTTTTGGGGATTAGCATTTGACACGTTCCACACTTTGCTGTGTGTGCACAGCATAGGAGTTGCCTGTTTAGAAATAAGGCCCACACTGGATAGGAAAAAACCAGTGGCTAACCTGCTGCTCTTACGTCCCTGCAGTCAGTATGCTGTCCTCAGTTTCGTAGACTTTCCATGATTCAGACTAAGTGGTCCTCAATTTTCAGTGACATAGGATTGCTTGGAGTTGACTTTTGGGTCTCATATCTTGAAGGGTCAGCACTGGCAGTCTGAGGACAAGGTAAAGATAGCTCTTACCCTCCCCCACCCTCCCCCACCCCCCACCCGGTCTGACAACACTAATTCAGTAAGAAGCAAATCTAATCACTTCCAGTTTGGCTCACTTATAAACAGCCATCTTTACAAACCTACAGAACTGTTCTGCCTAGTTACAGATGGCAGATTGCTGCGGCTTTTAAGGTCCAAAAGCAAGCAGTAGCAACCACTCTTAAAATGGCTTTTATTTTCCACCTCACCAGTTAGAATAGCCATCATTAGCAACACCACCACCACCAAGTGTTGGTGAGGATTCGGGGAAAAAGGAACCCTCTTACACTGCTGGTGGGAATGTAAACTAGTACAACCACTCTGGAAAAAAATCTGGAGGCTACTTAAAAAGCTAGACATTGATCTACCATTTGATCCAGCAATACCACTCCTGGGGATATACCCAAAAGACTGTGACACAGGTTACTCCAGAGGCACCTGCACACCCATGTTTACAGCAGCACTATTCACAATAGCCAAGTATGGAAACAGCCAAGATGCCCCACCACTGACGAGTGGATCAAGAAAATGTGGTATCTATACACAATGGAATTTTATGCAGCCATGAAGAATGAAATGTTATCATTCGCTGGTAAATGGATGGAACTGGAGAACATCATTCTGAGTGAGGTTAGCCTGGCCCAAAAGACCAAAAATTGTATTTTCTCCCTCATATGCAGACATTAGATCAAGGGCAAACACAACAAGGGGATTGCACTTTGAGCACATGATAAAAGCGAGAGCACACAAGGGAGGGGTGAGGATAGGTAAGACACCTAAAAAACTAGATAGCATTTGTTGCCCTCAACGCAGAGAAAGTAAAGCAGATACCTTAAAAGCAACTGAGGCCAATAGGAGAAGGGGACCAGGAACTAGAGAAAAGGTGAGATCAAAAAGAATTAACCTAGAAGGTAACACCCACGCACAGGAAATCAATGTGAGTCAATGATGCCCTGTATAGCTATCCTTATCTCAACCAGCAAAAACCCTTGTTCCTTCCTATTATTGCTTATACTCTCTCTACAACAAAATCAGAGATAAAGGCAAAATAGTTTCTGCCGGTTAGTGAGGGGGTTGGGGGGGAGAGAGTGGGCGGAGGGGTAAGGGAGGAGGTGGGGGAAGGGGGGGGAGAAATGACCCAAACATTGTATGCACATATGAATAAAAAAAAACTAATTAAAAATGGCTTTTATTGAGACTTTTTTTTGAGTTTCTGCAACATTTCCAGTTGGGAGTCCTTTACTATGGCTAAAGGCCTTCTTTGAATGCCCGAGGTCTACCTCTCCCACCTTAGCAAGGAAACATCCTCAATTCTCTCTGCTGCAGTGTCCAACCAGGCCCCCGGCTCATCATGCTCATTTGCACAAGGTTCATTAGTCCTCCGCGCAGGACTCATAAACCCAAGCTAAGTTCATCCCACCTGTTAATTAAGCAGATTATTTCATTGTGTGAGCAGCTGGTGTTTGGTTCAGCAACCTGCGGGTCTTCATGTGGGACCCCCTGCCCTAAGTGTCAGCCTGTGAACGTGTCATCTACCACCTACCTGGTAAAACGGATTAACCCAAAACATTCTAGGTATGTACTACTGCTGCACTTTCCCTCTACTGTTTTTGAGAGGCAAACATTTCAGGGAGTCTCAGGCAGTGAGTCTTTTTTCTGGAAAGGGTCTTAGAAGTCAGTAACTTAAGACTTCTCTAAGGCAGTGTTCCGAGAGGTGACTGACCTACCTCAGCATGGACTGAAGTATCTCTCCCCAAATGGTGGCCTTATTTTGCTACTTTGTAACTCTCTGCCTAGCACTAAAAACTCTTCTTGGAAACCTATGCATAGCAAATATTCCAGCTACTTCCATCCTGACAGGCCCCAAATACATGCTCCCCAAAGCCTTTCTCTTAGTAAGAGGGTCAGGAGTTTGAACAAAGGCAGAGTGGTACCTGTTTAGCACAACTGTTCCCATGGTAAGGTGAAAACTAACAATTCACTTAGAAGAACAAGTGACAGGGCACTGAGACCGTGCTTGCAAATTGCTGCCAATGTATGTCTGCATCCTGCATCACCCAGACCCCTACACACACACACGCATGACCTGCTCTCTTAAAACACAGAACCAGAATAATTTCTGACAGGCGCCCAGAGAGAAAGCATTCTTTATGCAAATGGAAGACTGTGAGTTTCCTGGGTGACTGTGGCTCCCATGCTCACTGAAAAAGAAGTGTATGCGGTACCAAAAGGCTCAAGAGAAAATGGATACACAGAAATTTCATGTGTAATAAAGCAATTATTTACATTAAGCACAGTACAGCAATTTATTTAGATGCTTAAAATGAATACAAAGGGAAATAAGCTCACAAAATCATACATACTACAAGTGTGTCATATATTAGATGGTATAAATGAAACACCAGGGTGGTGTTCAACTAAACATAAAACTAAATATCCAAAACGCAGCACTCAACTGTGCCTGCTGCTTCAACACAACACACTTTTATACAGATCTAAAAGGTGTCAAAATTAGTAGCTGCAAAGTCAATTGTTGCATGTGATTTTAGCTTAAAAGATTTCAGAGACATCTGAAATACCAGTTTTGCTTCTGACAGCTGTAATGTCAAGGATACTCAGAACAAGAAAAATTCTATAATACAAGAGAGTCCAGATATATATCTTACGTGGCTGGCCTCTGTTGTAAGATTGTACAAGGTTATGTGCAAAAACTAAGCCTGTCCAAAGGTCCGTACTAGCGCAGGTTCAAGCTTCTGCTAGGTAAGCTAGGTATAGCGTTTATTACACAGCAAGGGCAACACTAAAAAAGAAACAAATCTATGATGGGCACACAGTAACAGTATCATAAGCATCACTTGAATAGGTCTAAAAGACTGTACAAAATATACATTTCAACTATTCAGAATGAATACGTGAAAAAAAGGTTGATTTTCCCCGAGTCTACTGTACACATTAGACTGGTTGCTTGTAATGTTGGCCCTAGACTGCTGCCACTGAATCAGGGAACGCTTCTCATGGAATCCAATCAAATGTTTTACAGTGGGAACGAGAAGCTGAAAGGCAGATAAAATAAACCTCTGCTTATCCCTGTGTGCGTCTGTGAGCCGCCAGCTTACTGGCTTCCCACATTTACTGTCCGCCAGAGAAGGGTCTGAAGCAAGTTTAGCCAATCTCATGTCAGACTTAGAAATAACCAGTGGGACTGTAGCAGCCATGTCCCCACAGCCTGCTAACCAGTCCCCACGGGCAGTACCAGTCAGTTGCAAGCCAGCTTTGCAGTCAGACTGGAAGGAAAAGAGTTCCGGGCTGCAACATGTCCCCGGGGCTGCAGTCAGGCACTCAAGCCTGCTGGCTGCTCAGTTTAACTCCAGCTAAGCTGCCATGCATCGGCTCAGCTACCCCATCAGTCATACTGTCAAACTGCTCCCCATCCTCACTGTCAATTGTGCTGTTCTGCCATTCGATCTGGGGGTTGGACAAGCGCTCAGCATTCTCAGATGCATTCTTCCACTGTGACTGGTCCTTGGACCAAAACCCTTCAACTTTTCCATAGGAACTATTCTTCCATTTCAACTGCTCTCTGTCACCTTGCACAGTAGCCTTTTTTTTGGCAGCTGGCTTACTGCTCCTTGCATCTTCACTCTGGGAAGACTCATCAGACCAGGTTCCTGGTTTCATTTCACATGTGTTATCCTCAAAGTCCGACACTTGGTGGGAACCGGGCCCACTCTCAGGTGGTGAAGCGCCATCTTTCCATTCAACAACATCATCTTGGTCAACCTCACTGTCAGAGGCATCATGCATTAATTTGGCAGGTTCCTCAGTCAAATGAACAGTTTCATATTTTGAACCATCATCCTCTTTTTGGTCTAGCTTCTCCTCAGATTCTAAAGCATCCTCGGGAATTACCTTCGGAACATGTTCCTCTGGGTTATCATTAGAGATTTTAGGCTCAACTTCAAAAACAGGGTCAAAAGGGCTACGGCTTCCATTGGATTCTTCTTCCAAATGTTCAAAGCTATCTGAGGAACTGTCGTCTTCCTTCCCAAGGTTAAGCTTTTTGTCAACGGTCTTACTAGCATTGACTCTGGAATCCTTCTCATCATGATTTTCAAATAGCCACTCAGCATCAAAATCCATCTCGTGCTTGACTTTATTCAATTCTTTCATGTTAAAACCCAGCAACACACCAGGTTTGTACTTCTCACAGTCACGAACACATTTCTTCCTTTTGTTACTAAAATGGGAAGCAATGTCACTCTTCCACAACCATAAACTGGCCGCCAGCTTCTCAATTTCTCTCCTGGTGGGGTAGGGCTGTTTGTTGAAATACTTTGTTAGAAAGCTTTTCCTGGCTTCATAGGAATCATCCTCATGACCCTTGGGGTCCAAAGCTAAAACAACAGGCTCTTCAGGCTTCTCCTCGAAGAAGCTGGGAGAATCGCTATCATCATCTAACTTCCGCTTTTTCAGCAAGGGAAAGTCCATTTGCTCATAGGTACGCTTCACCGGTGCCACGCCTGGAGACTGATTGAGCCGAGAAGGTGCATTCGTCTTGTCCTGGCCGTTCTGGGTCTTTCCCACTCCCCTGCAGTGGACTAGATGCAGAGTGATGGTGGAGGCAGTCATGTTGCTGGTGTACACACCCAGGCAGTGGATGCATTTGTAGGTGAGCTTTTTCTCAACTGGGTGAACTGTCTGAATAACTTGGTGCCTCTCTCGTAAGTGATGTGCAAGTGCATCAGATATGGGTCCTTTTAAGATTGAAAAGCAAAGAGGGCAAAGGGTTTTCCCAACATCTTTTTTATAGGGCACTGCAGCTTGAGGTGAACTTTTAACAGGGATGTCTGCCTTCTCTTGAACTTTTGGCTGTGGCTTTGGAGGAACTGGAGGATTATTCTGGGCATGGTAAGCAACAGATTCAGCTGGAGCATCCCGTAGGTTGTACGTGGTTACCAAGAGGTGGATGTTAGTGTGACTGCCCTGCTGCAATGTCAAATCAAAACTCAGAGTAGAATCCGTTTTAGGTCCCATCTCTTCGTCAATGTGAACCATTCGCATGTGTGCAGCCATCTTTTCCACGTCGTTGAAAGTTGAACGGCAATATGGGCAGGACAGACCATGAATTAACATGTGGTTAAGCAAGGTGTCTGTGGGCAGGTAGCGGTTACAGTACAAGCATTTGCTAGTGAAGTTGTGTATCTTCATAATGTAGTTAGCTACTGCTGGGACTTTCTCAGCTTTATGTTCTTTCTCGAAGTGCACACTATAGACATTTTCAGGGAAAAGCTCATTACAGATTGTACATATTTTCCACTTTTGGGTTGCAGAAGTGTTGGGTGGGGGAGGGCCCGTGGCAGCTGCTGGAGGTTTGGAAGTGGACTGACTTAATACTCTGGACGCCTGTGACTGGGAGAGGGACGGAGACTTTAACTGGCCAGCTGAGAGGGAAGAGGCATTAGGAGCCTGAAGGGAGTATCTGGCTGGTGCCTGGGACCTCTGCTCTGCCCCAAGCCCATAGGACCTCCCATTTCCACTCGGAAGTAACTGCTTCACAGACTGAGACTGCTGAGGGATGGAAACGGGAGCATTGCCACCAAGGCCCAGTCTCATTGACTGAGCAACGCCATAGCCTTGGCCCACAGATTTGACTCCATAGTTGTTTTGCTGCAGGTGAACATTGGACATCATGTTGACTCCCGTGGAATTTAAGTTAGGCTTTGGTATTGACAGTCGATTCACCATCTGCTGTGATGGTAAAGACCGGACATTTCCAGAAGCAAGAGAACCGATTCTTGGTGGGAGTCCCATGCCCTTCTTCTCTTGAGGTTTGGGAGCAATCAACATCAAAGGTTTGGATCGGGGAACCACCACATTTGTGTGCCCAATCATGGCAGTGACTTGATAGCCTATGCGCTCATGGTCTTCAATGACATGCTGTACCAAAGCTTCATAGGACTTTGGCATGAAAAGGCATCGCTTGCAGTGAATACTGCACTCTTCCCGGGCACTTGCGCCCAAGGGAACTGCACCATTGAGGGACTTTTCTCCTGCCTTCGCTATGTAAGGTGCTGCCACGTGCTGAAAATGTTCCCTGTAAATGTGCTTCCTAACGATTTCATACAGAGGGTCTCGGTAAGTGCACTTCTTACAGTAATACACAGCTTGCTCTACACTGTCAGCCTGCTTAGGTTTAAGGCCATCATTTTTGTTTTTATCTTTGAAAGTGCTGAGGCTGCTACTTGGTGCGCTGGCATTTGGAGCATGAAATATTTTAATGTGTGTTTCCAAAGTCTTTTTATCTGCATTGAAGGTACAGTAGGGACAATTAAGGAGAATCCTATTTTCAAAGTCTTCACTATGGACGTTCCGGAAATGACTTTTGTAGGCAGAGAAGAATTTGGAGGAAAATGGACAAGCACTGCAACAAAAAGGTTTTGTCCGATAGTCCTAAAGAAAACACAGAAACTAGAATCAGAGCACCTCCTCAGGTAGGCAGTAACAGCTTCTAGATTTCTCCCCAAGATATCCTCAGAATGCTATTTCTAGGACAGAAACTGTAATGCAGAGTTCAGTATATTTTTATTCTCTTAAGAGTTTATGAAAGAGAAACTCCTATGAAAAGGATATTTTAAAGCTAGCCTTTTTATTCATGCCCCCATTGTAAATAAAAAATGTAACATTAAGTTTTTCCTCAATCTTCAGAAAGGACCAGTCATATTTGCTGCTAGTAAATGGCTTTGACATAACATTTCTGTTAGAAATAATAATAGACCATATGAAATCATTCTCACTTTGTGAATCAGGAAGCTAGTAAAGGCTTGGGCTTTATGAATGAGTAAATTCAGGGCCCAGATTGTATTAATGCAATTAGATAATTGTAAGAGATAAAGATTTCTCAGGCACCAGTGGCTCATGCCTGTGATCCCATCTACTCAAGGGGCAGAGATCAGGTGGATCACGGTTTGAGGCCAGCCCCAGCAAATGGCTCAAGAGACCCTATCTTGAAAATAACCAACACAAAATCGGGGCTGGAGGAGTGGCTCAAGTGATAGAATGTCTGCCTAGCAGGTATGAGGTCCTAAGTTCAAATCCTGGTACCCCCCTCACCACCCCCCCAAACATATATATACATATATATATACACACCCTTCCCATCAGGAAAAAATTTTCATAGAAGGCAGCAAACCTCAAACATTTTTTTCTCTAATACAAACTGTAGTACAGTATTCAGATTTCATGACTAGTTAAAAAACTGATTGGAAAAATCAGTTTTCTTCTACATCGCTGCTGTTTCTTCCCAGGCAAGAACAGCTTCAAAAGGGTTAATGAAGTGACTGATGGCTACTTGACTCAGACTGTGAAGGGCTATGGTGTTTAAAGACCAGTAATACATTGTTGGTATCAAAGGGCAACTTTCAGAATTATGACCAACACTTGAGCAGTTGGTTACCTGAATGAAGACAGGTGAACGTAAGTTAAGGGAGCGATTACCTTTTCTCCCTAGAAACCTGCTTGTTTCACATACTGATTTGAACCAAAATGAGATACTCTGCTTTTCCTTCTCTAGTATGAGGCTATGAGGCTTTCTAATTCTTAAAACTGACTTATGATGTGTCCCACTGGAAAGCTTTCATACTCTGAAGATCACTGGCTAATGTCTTTTTCTAGGGTATTAATAGGAAAGAACTCTCAAATTTCTGAAGTAGAGTTCAAAAGCACAAAGTCTCTGCTAAGTATGTCAGAATTAGAATAGACAACACCTCCCTTATGGAAAAGGAAACAATTTTTTGGGGGGGGGTACTGGGATTTGAACTCAGGGTCAAATGCTTGCTAGGCAGGTGCTCTACCACTTCAAGTCACTCTGCCAGCTGCTCTGGTTATTTTGGAGATAGGGTCTCATGAACTATTTGCCATGGCTTCCAACCATGATCCTCCTGATCTCTGCCTTCCAAGTAGCTAGGATTATAGGCATGAGCCACCAGAGTCCAACAGGTACACAATTCTATCTTCATTACATCTTCGTCTATCCATACTCGCTGGCACTACTGACGAATATTATTTTTAATGCAAATTTGTAAAAAGTTCTGTCACTGCCATCCTATAGTCACCCATCCCATCCTTCCATAGAGGCTGGGTATCATCAACATAGAGAAGAAATTGAGTTTGGCTTTTCTTTCCCCAGGAAACACAAGAATGGCAATGCAGACACAGGAAAGTGATAGGCAACAGGAAAAACAAAATGTTGGAGGGAACTATTTAGAAACGGAAGAACCAAAGCACTTGTAGAGGAATATTCATATAAAGGAAGGCCTCACAACTTTTAAGGAACAAAATTCTCTTTTGTTCCTACACATGAAACTTCAGTCTAATGACAAAAGCTACAAGTTCTCCTTGGTTTTGTCGTCTTAGGAAGATGAGACATGCAACTGCGCATCTTCCATGTTAGGACACAACTCATTGACACCACATCACTGCACAAACTGAGAGCTGGAAATGGGGTACACCAAGGATGCTGTCACTTACCTGATTTTTTGTAAGCGAAGGGTCCCACAGTCCTACATCCTCCCATGTAGTGTTTTTCAAATAAAAGTCGTTAGGTTCAAACTGTTTAAAGTCCTAGAAAACAGTGAAAGAATTTATAAAAACATAGTGGGATCCACTCTAGCCTGACTTTACATAGAAATTCTACCTCTAACTAGGGGTGGGGGGAGGCATAGGAAAAGCAACTCCAACAAGAACTAAAGTAGGGTATTAAGTCTCTTAGGAAGTACAGAAAGGCAGATGGCCACATTTTCAATGAAAGTGCTGGGAGTTCCCATTAGGGGAAAACATCCAGTCATACAGTAATCCCAGCAGAGCACTGTAATTCACCAGTTACAGTAGGAGAATGGAAAAGCAAAGTTCACTAATTGCTCTGCAGGTGTGATATTCTGGTTGTCAAAAAAAGGGGGGGGTGGGGAGGGAGAAGAAGCAGGTGATTGGCTCAGGAAGGAAACTCAAAAGATTTTTAAACTCAAAAAAGAGAATTTTACTTTCAAAGAAAGTAGCAATATGATGTTAAATTCATGCTCTTATGTAAAAATTTAACTGCACCCCCAAGATAAAAAATCTTAAGAATAAAATTCTCCTGCTTCTAAATGGTTCACAGTTCTGGGTAGAAAATCAAGTACATGCAGATTCCAGAATATGTAATGGGTGTAATAAAGGGAGAAACAAATCAAATTCAGGACATTTGCATTATTCACTTCTGTGACGATGATGCCCCAGAGTACACAGGGGCTGATGGACTGCCTTAGCTGGGCAGATTTACCTAAACCTGAGGGGTTGGAGAGGAGCTGCTTTCATACTGGGTGCAACACAATTAGGGAAGTCCACTTTTGAGAAACTTCAGTGTCTGCCATTTACCCCTGGAGTGTTATTAGTGGGACTCAGGAAAAGAAAACCTGTTTCAACTTTCAATCCCATTCAAACATGTTCTGAGCACTTATGTGCTAAGCCTGTGCTAGTGGGGGCACATGGTAGAACAAGGGAACTACGGCTCCTGGCCAGCATGAACTGAAAGGTTAGGGGAAACAGCTTTAAACATTTCAATTGGAGGCTCTGACCAACGAACCATAAGATCTGGAGCAACGAGACCTGGAAAAGGAGGAGACTGCTGCACTGGCTATCCCATGGGGCTGTGTAGAGCTCACAGAATAAAAAGGCTAGGAAAACAGTCTGTAAAGGCCAAACTGTTACACAAGGGGAAGATAATCATCTGACGATTCAAAAAGGGCAGACAAATGCTCAAATCCTAAGGACAGAAATGACGAGCACCCAACAACCATGCCCCAACAGTTAGAAAGTCAACACAACACTCAGGCCTACCAGGATGAGAACAGGCCCTGGAGTCCCACCATCCCTTCCTCAACTGTGTGCTGGAACTTCTGCTTTCCTCATTCTTCATTTGTAATTTGGAGATAAGAATTCCTATACTTCCCACTTGGGGTTGTTTTAAGGACTGAATCTATAGATACTCTGAAAGCACCTAATACAATGTCTGACTTCTGTAAGCCCTCCATAATAGCTGACTTTGCTTCAGGATGCAAAGATGAAAGAGCCCATTTTGGGGAGAAGGCATCAAGTTACACTAACTGAGAAAGCTCTGGCCAGTTAGTGCTGTAGTTAAAATTCAGAATCACACCTAACAATTAACCATCCTGACCCCTGACACAAAGTAACGGATCAGAAGCTGAGTCATATTAAAATTAAAAAATGGCATGCTACTTACTTCTATATGTTCTTTACAGTATTCCAACCCAATGTCACTAAGTATTTTTTTCACAGTTTTCCGGGCTTTTCTTAAACTGCCAAGATTGTTGACAGGAAGTTGGAACATAGTTTCTATTGGAAAAAAAAATTTAAGTCAAAGTCAAAACACACACAACTTGTAGTATTTACTAATCCCAACTGGTGACAGGATCCCAAATCCTGGCTCCTTCTGACAAAAAAGATGAGGAGATATCCTTATCTAGTGTATTTTGAGTACTTAAAGCAGGCAGACAAAAATAAGTGCTCTCTGATCTTTTCTTTTTTTTAACAGAACATTTAAAAAAATACTACTGACTGACTTATGGGGTCTAATCTAACACAATTCTGGTTAGGCTTTAAAAACCATTATAGCAACCAACATGAAACTGAGAATTAGGGAAACGATACCAACCAATTAATTATTTTTAAATCAAGTGTGAGTGCTTTTCTCCTTGTGATGTTAAACCTCTGAATAGAAAAAAATGTTCAGCATCTCAGCATGACTACCACACAATTGTGAGTGCCAGGAAAAGAGGTTTGTATTGACTGGGAAATGTCCTGCTCACTGCTGTGGATTCTTAAAGAAACAGTGTCTTTGACAGCTTCTGTCCATTCCTCAAACTAAAGACACTAATGGCTGCGTGACTCACTCCTCAGCTGGCAACACACCTGGACAAAGGCACTCACATAGATCATGGAATGAATGCTGAGAGGGGGAAGGCTGGGCTCTTGCCATCAGAGCACGTGGTGAATGCTACAGGCTTTAAGGGATCTTTTTGAAAAATGAAAAGCCCTTACATATAAAGGGACTCAAAAAATTGCTTAACTGTCCTAAAACACTGAGTCAGAAATTTCAATCCACTTTAAAAACAAAGGTTTTTGTTTAATAATTTGAGTGACTGAGAATACCCTGTAAGGCTTCCAAAGTGAGCACATATGCTTCCATAAAGTATGGTAAGAATGTCATCAATTTCATAATCCAAATCCAAAATAATTTTGCAGAATAAAGACCAAACTAGCAAAAACAAATGCCAAAGCATCAGGAATCAAAATTTAATATGCAAATCTGGTCTTCGAATTAATAAAGGCTATTATTCTTAATATCACTACTGTTTGTAAACTGTAGGTCAACTAATCCAAATGTAATAAAATATGTTGCTGAATTTATTATTTTAACCCAAAAAACAATGTTAACTATGAAAAATGGGAAAGGAGGGCAGAAAGATGAAATCTATCAAAACAAATGAGAACGTAAGAAATTCTGAACCTAGATGTGTTACCACAATTTACAAGTCTCAAGATACCTTACAACAAGTACCAAAGTTTAATTAGGCTCCAACCAAAGAGAAAAGCATTCATTAAAAACCATTTCTCAACACAGCTGAAGATGTGGCTCAAGCAGTAGAGTGCTTGCTTAGCAAGCACAAGGACCTGAGTTCAAACTCCAAAACAGGTAACTAGCAAAAAAAACCCCCACAAAATCTATGAAATAAAGCTGGGGATAAATAAAGCTGACTTAACGGTACAGCACTTGCCTAGCATGTGCAAAGTTCTATGTATGAGCTTCTGCACTTCATAAAACAAAATTGTAAAAATAGAGGGAAAAACCCCACTTTTCAGCAGTATCAATATCATCCTCCTGCTAACTATGAAGCAGTAAAAATAGTGTCTCCTACCCTCTCTGACATGCCAGTGCAAGAATATACGCAAAGACTCCCTTCCTACTGTATACCCAGCCACGAAGCTTCCCTTCCCAGAAGGACACACTATTTCTTGAGCTTATAACAAGGCAAACAATTCCTTAAAATAACATCTCCACTGAACTCTACCAACCAATGTCAGAAAAAGTATTCAAGGGCTCTATACATTTTCCAGTTGACTGCTTAACATTAAACAACATGTACCGTGCCTAGTGGTACATGACTGTAATACCAGCACCTGGGAGGCTGAGCAGCAGAAGGTTATCAGGAGTTCCAGGGAAATCTGGCTACATAGTAAGACCCTCTCAAAACAAAACAGTAATTGGCTCCAGGTCTCACTGTCATCATCCATTTGATTCTTGTGTAAAAACTGTTATAGGAATTACTCCAAGCCTCAAAAACCCCCTTAGAATTAGAAATCTAGACAAGGTGTTCATACTTAAATGACTTAAGGAGTGAAAACAATGAAAAACTGCCTTTGTCCGAGGTTGAGAGCTCTTTCCTTTTGAAAGCACCAAAAACTACAAATATTTACAATCATGACTTTTAGGGGGAAGACACCTTACAATAATGCCAGAAAACTGTCCTCCCTCTTTCCCAGATTTGCCTGGTGAGAGCTCATCCCTCTCTTCAGACGTCTTGATTATCACACTGGCTGTTTCTGAAAGTGCAGCTTCATCATTCCAATACCAAGGAGAGCTCCTTTCAAGAAACCTTCAACCTTTCTGTGCTCATGGCATTGAAAGAGTGAAAATAGCAAACTGAATGGCACCGTGTCCTTTATTCATCAATCATTTTTAGGGTACACTGTGCCAGCCACGTGGTACCGGGAATAAGACAACACTTTCTCCCCTTCAACAGTGCATCACACTTCTGGAGGTTGGGGCCCAATAGGCCCGTAGGAACAGAGTTCAGACATATGCTTGCCTGTCCAGACTCCTTTTGGAACCACCCCTGCCACAACTGATGTGCTGTCAGCTAGGAAGCTTCTTCTGCATGGAGGAGTGCATGACTCAGGGTGACCAATAAGAGTATTTCATCTCTGTAGACACTGATCAGTCCAGACCTGGACATGTAGTGCAAAAATGGCTAACAGGCATGATGAAAAGGAAAAGAGGAGACCTGTCACAATATGAAGAAAGCAAAGGGAGGGATATATATGCCTGAAAGACAGCACTCCCCTTACTGCCTCCATGCCCAGACCTTTCAGATCCACAAGCAAATGCATTACCATTTCTGCTTCAGCTTTGTTGCAACTAAAAGTCTTGGCAGACCTACTGCCAACACTGTGCAGGGGGACATAGAAGAGAAGTGAACAGTTGAGAGAGAAATGGGTATTTTATCAAAAATACTACTTGTGAAATGGGTCTAGAAGAATAGGAATTTCTCAAAAGATGTAGCTATTCTAAAAAGTGCTTTGACTTCAGTTTCACTCATCACTCCCATATGGAGCTGGGGACTGTGGCTCACTCTATAATCCCAGCTACTCGGGAGGCAGAGATCAGGAAGATAGTGGTTCAAAGCCAGCCAGGGTCAATAGTTCATAAGACCCTATCTTGAAAAAACCCATCACAAAAAAGGGCTGGTGGAGTGGCTAAGTGGTAGAGTGCTTGCCCAGCAAGCTCACAACCCAGAGTTCCATCCCTAGTACTGCCAAAAGAAGACAAAATTCAAAGCTAGTTCTTTTTTTCATAAAGGACATTAACATTGAGCTTTCCTCCAATTCTTTTAGAATTCAGAAACTGTTTGACTCTTTCCAGACAGTTTTTTGTAATGGGTTTTTTGAGATAGGGTCTCAGGAACTATTTGCCCAGGCTGGCTTCCTCCTGAGCTCTGTCTCCTGAGTAACTGGAGACAAGAGTACCCGGCTTAAATTCATTTTTGAATGAATTAATCACACGCTCCTTCCTGTCATTCTTTGCAAATTACACCCATACCTATGGAGGAGGGCCCAAACATCAGTTTTACCAAGTTTGGCTAAACTCCTAATCGTGCGTTTTCTTAGAAAGCCAGAGTCAAACCCTGGACTGAAAATTTGAGATCAACTGGGGACATGGCTCAAGCAGTAGTACACCAGGCCCTGAGTTCAAACCCCAGAAAATCTGAGATTAACCTAGACCCTAAGACTACAGACGAATTTAAGCCATAAAAAAAATAACAAAAGCACATGCTTCTTTACTCCAAGTACTAAGAGAGCAAATAAAGTCAGAAAGTCAGGCTCATATCTACAGGTCAAATTTATACAGGGAAAGATGACAATGCATCAGTAACTGTGAGCAGAGTGCATTAACTGACAAACCTAACTATAATCACTTATGAATCCACCACCCTGCTAAAAGCCCTGGACCTTGTCAGAAGCTGTACTCAGGTTCTTCTGGGTCAGGAAGATGGAGGAGAACTCAAGGGATGACAGTGCCAGTTTAGCAGCTCAAGATAAAGCTTGCAGGACCAACACCAAAAGTCAAGGAGGCTTTTCTATGGTAGTCTCTCCGCAAAGTCACCAGGTCAGATGGCACCATTTGGTCATACTTTTAAAAGCAGAAATGTATTTACTAGTATGCCATCAGAAAGTAAAAACAAGACAAAACAAAATGAAAAAAAAAAAAAAGTTACCAAAAAACCAAAAAACAAAAAACAAAACCCCAGGCTCAGTTGGTATAATACAGTGTTTGCCTACCTTCCACAAGACCCTGGGTTTGATCTCTAGCACCTCAAAAGACAAAACAAAACCAGTAAGCCATGCAAAACCACCAAAACCCCAACTGTAGGCCTTGGGGAAAAAAAAAAAAAAAATCAAGCCAGAGGGAAAAAAAGCTCCCAAATCAAACTTGTCCAGTTAACATTTTAAGCTATTCCATAGATCTAGCACATCTTGTTTGCTATATAATCTTCCTATTTTAATATGTACTCTTACTTTGTGTGTCAGTAAACACCACAATAATTATGATATCAAGTCCAACTTTCCATCAACTGCAGGTATAACTGCTAGCTTTCTAATACTCTATTTGAGAACCAAAACCTGAACAAACACATACCAGAGTGACAACTAATGTATCAGTTACACCAGGGAATGCAAATCTGTAATTTTCACAAGAAAAACATCTTTAATACTGCACTGGGAATTACACAGGACGGTCATTTCTTTCTGGTAACACCTCAACAATAGCTGCTAGTCTAAACCAATGGTTCTCAAGGAGTTTTTGAATTCTTTTTAAAAAAATTTTTAAAGCAGTGAAACCCTTGTTTCCAAAGGGAGCTTAGGTGAAATGTAAGACATAAAAAGTAGAGCTGGTCATACTGAAAGGGAGAAGGAAAAGTTCCCTGCTCCCAAGTATCTCTTTCAAATAGTTACTAGCCAAAACTAAGCCCATGGTGCAAATTTATGCCCCAAAGCACGAATTTTTATGACTAAAGCAGAATTCCAATAGCTTACCAAAAATCTCTAAATAAGATTAGTTTGATCCATGTATGAAGTTACAGGCAGTATACAGTAAGCCTAAAAGATCAGAACATATATACTGTGATACTGTCATGTTAACATTTCTACATTAATGCCATTTAAAAAAAACAAAAACCAAAAAAACTGTGGGGGATCAAATGCTGGAAATGATGCTATTACTATAAGAAAAATGGCAGCTATATTTTCTAAGTAGAAAATTAGAAACTTACTGAAGTTACTACAACATGAACAATTTTTTAATAACCCAAATTAATACGTAAGAATTAAGATTCCTGACACTAAAAAGCATTCCAATTAATGCTGACGCTAGTATTTATATAAAGATATTGTATAACACCCCACTGGGTTGGAGAGTCAGATTTTGCAGTTTCTTTAAATCAATGGATGTGAAGATAATGAAGCTATGCTGGCAACTCTAATGAGAGGCTAAATCTAAGCGTCTCATGCTGGGCACCAATGGCTCACGCTTGTAATCCTAGCTACTTGGGAGGCTGAGATAAGAAGACTGAGGTTCGAGGCAACCTGGGCAAATGGTTTGGGTGAGACTCCATCTCCAAAATAACCAGAGCAAAATAGACTGGAGGTGTGGCTCAAGCAGTAGGCATCTGCTTTGCAAATGCAAATTCCCTGAGTTCAGACCCCAGTCCCACAAAAAAAAGTCTCATAAACACACTCAAAGCATCAGTTACTTTACTGCCATTTTTTTTTTTCTCCCCAGATTTTGTGATGTAACATTTAGGAGCTGTTAAGAACTATTTAGGCAGAAATAAAACATCATTTCCGTTATCTACAGTCTCTTCTTTCCTTCCTATCTTTGCAATAGCATATTTAATACTTGTTTATATTAATCATAGCCAAAGAATGATCATACTAAAAACTTTGTAACTCACAAGCCTTTATCTTTCCTGACTCTTCTAGTGTCTGCATCTGAAGTGAATACAGACACTTTCTTTGCTTTAAGGGTGTCACTAGCTTCTACACTTAAATTAAACCAGATGCAAAAAGGTTCGTATACCTGTGTTTTTACAGATGAACCTTACAAAGCCTTGCTGGAACAACCCTGCAGTAAGTAACCCTACAGAGAGCCCACATTCAGGCTGGAAGCACTCACTCAACTTTTTTCTCTACAACACACTTATGTAGAAGCACCTCATCTTTCCCTCTTCTGTAAGTGCAGACAAAAGTCCTTTGGCATGTCAGAAGCTCCCCACAGAAAGAAACTCTTATGTTAACCTCCTTTTCCTCTCCTCCTAAATGCAACTATCACAGAATGGGCCATTCTGACTATTCAGGGGCAGAATGGTCTGGACTACAGAAATGCACAGCAGGACAGAGGTAAAAAATAAAGTTCAGTCCCCTTTCCTTGAGCTTGCTGGAAAATGTACAGAACGAGGCATAAAAAGGGGAGCAAAAGGAGGCTTTTGGAAAGTTGGCAGGACTAGAGATGCTACTTTGCAAATGATGACACACTTATACTGAAAGCTAAATCTGAATAATGAACAATTATATTGCTTAGGATAATTACATTGAAACACTTGATAAAGATAAGCAGCAGCATAAAATCTTATAAAATTCTATTTTTTATTTTCTATTTTTTCCCCCCCAATACTGGGGTTTGAACTCAGGGCCTACACCGTGAGCCATTCCACCAGTCCTTTTTTTGTGAAGGGTTTTTTTGAGATAGGGTCTCGTAAACTATTTTCCCGGCTGGCTTTGAACCTTGATCCTCCTGATCTCTGCCTCCTGAGAAGCTAGTATTACAGGTGTGAGCCACTGGCACCTGGCATATTTTCTTCTGTTCTTAATTACTAACTGCACTGGAGTTTTACTATGCTCCCATTTTGGCAATAAAAGGTTCTCAATTAATTTACTAAAGCACTGTATAAAACTGCCTACACACAAATCCATTTTCTTCACATTAGCCATATCAATTATTCAATTTCTTAAATTGCATTTTCGTAACTGTTGGGTAGGGAGACTAAATTTATGCAGGGCAAAATGATAATATTTATCTAAACATAGCATCCTGCACAAAAATGTTTGAAGGAATATTTTTTGTTGATAAGCAACAAGTCCCTTCTACAAACACCCTGCTGGGAGACCGCCTGAACACTTCCAGTGAGTGGACACAAAATACCAGCCACAGACCATTGTATATGAGACAGCTCTGTTCACAAGTTTACTTCTTACCATGTTCTGTAACCTGCCCGTGGTTCTCAGTTCAGTTATAGAAGTTTAACACCCTAATCACGTGACAGACAATACTCATGAAATGTTTGTATTGGGTGGAACCACTTCACGCATGATTACAATCAGCTAAAAAAGGAAAAAAATCTGACAAAACACCAAAAAAACCAAACAAACAAACAAAAAACTCAAAACAAACAACAGCAACAAAAAATCCAGCCCCATCTTTCATTGTCTTCTCAATTGCAGGAGCACAAACATTCTCTAAGATAAAAACAGATGTCCAGTATAAGCCTGAGGGAAGACTCATTTCCTACATGGCGGAAGTAACTGCAATCTGACAGGAGAAAGCAGCATTTTCAATCACTGTAGGAACTCAAAGGTCGCCTAATCTAAGTTTTCTCGTTTTGCAGATCAGCAGCTGAAGTGAAGCAATGGCTTGCCCGGGAGGGAGCTGGATCTCAAGGCCACACTCCAGGTCCAGATGCAGCACTCCTTCCATTGCCCGTGCACATGAAGCTCTCATCTGACACTCATTATGAAGACACAGCCGCATGTTACGTACATCCATCTGAAAGTGCCAGAACTTCAATACCCAAGGTTGAAATGGCCTTAAACGGAAAAGCTCAGCCAAACCAGTACAAGTGGTGATACAGAGATTAAGAATCTGGACACATCTAAGGTCAGCCAGATGATCCCATCACATCTAGAAAAGAACGGAAACAGGAACTCAGCTCTGAGGACACTGCCTTAAAGCACTCTACCATCACTGTGGATGCCAACAGCGGCTGCTGGACAGTCACACTGGAGGGCTTCTTCATTTCTTGACTGTTAATACTATGCATGTTTTTCTCAAAGTTGTTTGGGAAAAGCAGAAACTCTCATACCGTTTTCCTGTCTCTGGGAGGGGGTGCTAGTCTGCTCTCAACTACCTCTAGGCTCTTTATCCCAAATAAAGTTCTTTCTGTCTCAAATGAACTGGGAAATGAGAACACACTTCCAAAAACTTTGTGAGTGTTTTCAGCAGTAGTATTAAAAATACCCCAAAGTACACTGGCTCCTGTGGTAGCGTGCCTGCCTAGCAAGCGTGAAGCCCTGAGTTCAAATCCCAGTACCACCATCTAATAAAATACCCCAAAGTAAAACCAAATATCCATCAGCGAGGAATGGATGAAATAAAATGCCGTGTGTAAATATAGTGGAGAATGACTGGGTCAAAAGGAATCAAGTACTGTTATGTCCAGCACCGATGAATGCAGAAAACATGTTAAGTGAATGAAGCCAGTCACAAATCATCACATATCGTATGACTCTGGTTGTAAGAAATGCACAGAATAGGCAAATCTACAGACAGAGAGGAGGCTAAGGTAGCCTAGGGCTAAGGAAGGTATGAGAGGGAGGTAGGAGGAGACTGCTAGTGGGGACTAGGTTTCTTCCTAGGGTAATAAAGATGTTCTAAAGTCAATTGCCATGGCAGCCGCACAACTCTGAATACTCTTAAAACCGCTGCACTGTACACCTTAAATGGGTGATTATATGGCATATGAACATAGCTCAGTAAAACCGTTAACAAAATAAACAGAAAAGCAAAACAGATTACGCAAAGAACAGAACCTGTATAATTTCACCCAAAGGTGAAAACAACTGCTAATACAGGGGATATTTATCCTTCCAGGCTTTTATGCACACAGAATTTGTTTTCCTTCTTTTAATTTATTATTGTTTGCTGAAGACTAAACCCAGGGCTGTGCACATGATGGGTATACTGCTCTACCACTGAGTTACCCAATCTGTTTTTTCTTTTTTAAAAAGAAATCGAATCTAGCCAGATGCTGGTGGTTTACACCTGTAATCCTAGCTACTTGGGAGGCAGAGATCAGGAGGATCACAGTTTGAAGCCAGCCCAGGCAACAAAAGCAAGACCGTATCTCAAAAGTATTCAACACAAAAAAAAAAGCTGGTAGAGCACCTGCCTAGCAAGTGCGAGGCCCTGAGTTCAAACCCCAGTACCACCAAAAAAAAAAAAAAAAAAAAGAAGAAATGGAACCTACTTAATTTTGTACTTCCTCATGCAAGAACACCAATGTAACCTGAAAACGTAAATCAATTTTTATCTTACGGACTGTGCTTTTCAATAAGCTAGATACTATCCACAAAAGACTATTAAAAATTTTAAATGTGCTTGATCTTAGTCTTAACTGACATGCTTTTAAGCATAACACATATTCTGGGTTCCAAGACTTAAAAAAAAAAAAAAGACATTATGTTTAAAAAAATTTTTGATGATGAAGTAACAATACTTTGAATATATTGGGTTAAATGAAAATTATTAAATCAACTTTCCTTTCTTTTTGGCTATATAATGTGTAGGCAGGCACTTTTACCATGTGAGCCACTCCACCAGTACTTCTTCTAACTTTGTAAAATGTGCCTACTGGAAACACAGATGAATTCTGAAGACATCATGGTAAATGAAATAAGCCAGTCACAAAAGGACAAATAAATACAGCATGATTCTACTGAGGTACTGAGTGTAGTCCAGTTCAGAGATGAAAGGTAGAATGGTGACTGCCTGGGCCTAGGAAAAAGAGGAAGGGGAGTTGTAGTTTAATGTCTCAGCAGACTAATTTTCTTGATCTCAACTGATGGACTAAACAGAACCCCTAAAATATGCAACAGGACAGGTGGGCACCTCACCACTCATGACAAAGAAGTCCATTTAAGGACACTACTTAGTTTTCCCCTGCTATATCTTTAACATCTATATCAGAGGCTGGTACAAAGTAAGCACTCAGTAAGTACAGACCGAAGAATAAGTCCCTATCCACTAAGGCCTGGCAGACACTATGCTGATAAGTTTCTGCAGTAGAGGAGTAGTCAGATGCATCCCAGACATCTTTAGGAGCATTCACGCTCTGCTGAGAAGGTGAAGTAGCTGCTGAGGAGGGTCTGCTTGGGCTGAGCATGTGCATGGCATGGCTGCAAAAACCTGGCACAGTGCCAGAGGCAGGAAAGTAAGTTCTAGGAACTATTGCTTGGAGTTAGAATGGCTGCTTTGTCAAGCTTCTAAGTAATAATGAATGACGAGTTTAGAAAAAAAGCTTGAGAACAGGCTAAGGGGGGCCTTGAATGTAAAGTTAGAGTCAGCTGCCAGGTCTGCTTAAGCAACTGAGGAGATGCTGCAGGTACTGAAGTAAAGAAGTGAGATATGCCCTGTACTCAAGAGAAAGAGATCAGGAGAACAGCAGCTGGGGCTAGCCTGGGCAGAAAGTTAGTAAGATCCTAACTTGACAAGTAAGCTGGGCATGATGGTGCATACATGGATAATCCAGGCTATGCAGGAAGCAAAGGCCAGGAGTACCAAAGTCCAGACTCAACCCCAGGCTAAAACTCAAGACACTACCTGAAAAATAACTAAAGTAAAAAGGGTGGGGGTGTGGCTCAAGTGGCAGAGTGTGTGCCTGACAAGTGTGAGGCACTGAATTCAAACCCCCTGTAACAGACACAGGCAGACACACACACCCACACACACACACACACACACACGCAGACATGCACACACAGAGAAAGGTCTGTGAAACCACTGCCTTACATTTGAGGTACTAAGATAGAGGTCACAACAAAAGGGAAAAAGAAAACTATTCCAAGAGTGAAGCTTATTAGCCTAAGTCAAAATTTGTATTTTCTGATAAAAGTTTTCATGGACAAAAATTTACCTGATGTATGAGTCCCATATAAAAAATTTTTACCTCATAGGTCAGACTTCTGTTAGAGGTAAGGTAATGTTGAAAAACAAAAAGAACATGGTGAGAGCAGAAACCGAGAAACTACCCTCGAGCTGGACACATCTGTGTCTAAATCCTTGCTTTGTCATTTGCTAGCTAAGAATGTCACTTAACCTCTAGATCTTTTCCTTATGGAATGTTCCTACGTGAGAGGATTAAATGAGAAGGTGAGAAAGTTAAAGCGGTCACAATAATGTCCTTAGATCAGGTTCTGGAGTGATCACTCCAGAACTCACACCAATGTACAACCTTGTAAAAAGCTTGGACTTCTATTACTCCTGAGAATCAGATATAGTTGCCACAACATCTGTTCCTGTGTACCTTAGAATGCACATTTGTCCTTATACATACATACAGTAGTGGTTTTTTGCAGTACTTTAACATCCAGACTAGCAATTCAAATTAGAGTTGGCATATTAAAAGCTCAGTGGCACTTCAAATGCTTACGCAGTAGAACACCTGTACCTACCTCAAACAAACTGAGGTGACTTACAATCATTTGGAAACATACACAATCTAGATTATGCAAATTTATTTAAAAAAAAAAAAAAACTACGTGGGTCACTCCTTTTTCTATTTGTTCATTTGAGAGAGGATTTCACTATGTATGTAGTTCATTCTGGCTTGGAGCTCACAATCCTCCTGCCTCAGCCTCCTGAATGCTAGAGTTAGACACCTAATCATGTCACTGCTTTCTAAAGAAGTCTTTCAGACTAACAGACTAGTGCCTTCAACTAGACACTGCTATTATGTTGCTGCTTATCCTGCCACTTTGTTTAGTTAGAATTCAGACAAGAATCCTAGCTATAACCATCAGAATTTCTAGCACACCAATGCTACCTATGGTTTTCAGGCTGCCCTCCTGGGGAAGTACAAGTGTATATAAAACCAAGCACAGTGGTACACAACTTTATTTCCAGCACTCAGGAGGTGGAGGCAGGCCAGCCTGGGCTACACAGCAAGACCTTATCCTTGTAACTGCCCCCCTTCCCAAAAAGGGATGTGTATACAGATGCAGATGGTGATGCCCAAGGGACAAGATGAAAGCTGAGCAAACAGAGATCTGACCCTGTAACACCCTTTATCAATTTAAGAGTTCACATAAAATTTTATTTGAAAGGGGAGATGTCTCACTGCTTACAATAACAAACAAACAAAAAAAAAGACAATGGGTAACATACTTATCTAGACTTAAGGAGTGTGAGATGGGGAGCACACCCCAATTCACCTCACTTTAAATAGGTATCTTGCTGCGTTCCATAGGCTTAGAGCCACTTGCTGTCAGTGTAAGAGGACAACCTGGGTAGGAGAAATATGAAAAAGGGAAATAATTCAAAAGTGGGCCTAAGAGGACAAGCAAATATATCCACTTACAATCACTACTGAGCATGCCACATCTCTGCAAGTAAATGGCATAAATTGTTCTGATTGCTGATAAATCTTTTGCTTTATCAAAACCGCTCAGAAATAACATTTCCACAGTAATGAGAAATGTACTTTTCTCACCATTCTTGAATAACAATTATTTATCTAAACCATGTTCTCAAGTTTTTCTAGGTCATCTCCCAGGGTCAAGGCTTAATCAAAGATGGCCTTTCAAAAAGCATTCTTTTTTATCAGGTTTTGCCATTTGATGGCTCAATCCTCATGTTCCCCAGAAGTTTTTCTTGTAGTTTTTAAGTGTAACTGATCTTGGGTCACTTTTTTTTTTTTTTTGGTGGTACTGAAGTTTGAACTCAGGGCCTCACATTTGATATACAGGTGCTCTATACCACTTGAGTCATGCCCCAGGCTAAGAACTGATCTTGAACCAAGATTCTGAGCACTCATTGCATTAGGACACTCTAGGTCTCAGCTCATCTCTTTCACAAGATAAAGGACTGTCGACTTAAATTTACAATTTTAATAAGTTATGTCATATTTCACCAGAGAGAAGTTTCTTCAGATATGCCAAGTTTCAACATAAACCACTTAAGAGGTTTTCAATTAAGTGACCAGCTTCCACAAGAAAAGGAGAGCATGACAGACTTTCAAGGGGAGCGCAGGTTCACAATCTTATACAGACCATGGAGATTTCAGAAAGAGAACAACAAAAAGCCAGCAATTACCTAAGCAAAAATAACTGCTCAGTAGAGAGAAGGAACAAGACTCCCCTAAACCAAAACAAGAAAAAAGAAAAAGCAAGGTTTCTTTTTAGAATACTTCTCAGCCTTATGGCCAAGATCAGGCATAGACCATATCCAGTTAACTTCAAACCAGACATATAAACGCTTCAAATAAACGCTACCTGCAACATTCACACTCTACTGTTCCTGCTGGGGTTGTGACCGGCTCCTTTTAACTGTAGAGCCCATTTGGGATCCTTGGGTGTAAGCTGGCTGCATAAGCACAAAACATCACTATGAAATTATGAAGCATTCATTGGATTCCTCATTAGCCAAACAGCTCACAGGAGCACTATAAGGGCCTGTGTTCCAAGCACAAGCCTGGGAACTAGCCCAGACATATTCTGTGATCACTTCATTACTGCATGCAGCAGTGCCTTGATTTCCCTACTTATCAAACAAGGACAAGACTGGGAGGATGGAGAACAGTTTGCAAAGTACTTGGAAAGTCACTAATTATTATTTCATAATACCTTAAAAGCCAGCAATGGGGCCTTTACCTTTAACAGCTCGTTCTTAAGAAAGGCATCAACCCAATCACATGAGAAATGACACAGAAACAAATCCACAACTAAGTGAGTTAATTACAAATGTATACCCTTACTAGAGAAAAGCAGCAAGATGTGTAGAGACCTAACAGTCTGCTCTCCTTTCCCCAAAACGTTCCTTTCTGGAACACTGCTGAGGTTCCAGGATTTCTCTAGCAGCTACTTGGAACTAAGGTGGAGATCAATAATCTCAAAGAACTAAAGGCAGAAGACACCAAGTGAGTTCGTACAGCAAGATGGGGAAGTGTAGAATTTTGCATTTTGCACAGAAAAGAATAAAAATGTGCACCTCAATCAAATTTGTCACGTAACAAGTCTGGCTCATATTTTATCTGTGACATCCTCTGTGTCTACATGCTGCACTTCTCACAAGATCAAGCTGATATAAAATTAAAATTTGAGAATCCAGGGTAAGTGAGAAAAGCGAGCCTTTTCCTTCCACTGAGGCAGGACAGATTCTCAATAAACTGCCAGATAGCAAAGGTAGGTCTTGACTACAGGCAGGGGTAAGGAGTACTAAAACACTAAGAAACTACAAGAACACCATCCTTCCCTCTAAGTAACACGACAGGCAAATAACAGAAAACGGTCAGTGGCCACAGAGACTGGGCAAAACAAGGACAGCTTATCTTGTAAGGTGTCTCAACGAGCAAGTGGAAAGTGCCAACTTATAAACAAGAAATAGCTTTCACATTCAAATATTAATTTAGTTAGTGTGTGTTTTTGGCTTATACATACACTTTCAAACTAAGTTTCCAAACTAAGAACGTACAAAGTATAACTGACACTGATGAACATAAATGCAGCATTACCTCCAGGGGTAATACTGTAAATTAAGAAACTACAGGAGGAAAAACTTTGTGATGCTATGTGATGTTAACAATATGTCAAGCTCTTTTATCTAACTGTAATTAAATTATTCACATAATTTCTCCTGACGTACATGCCTTTCAGGCAAGTCAATGAAAGTTAAACTCTCGCTGAAGAATTTTACCTCTGTCAGACCTAACAGGCTTTATGACATTCTTTTAAAGTCCTTCGGATGTCCAGGTTGAACAAGTACCTTATTGCACAACAGTCACGGGCAACTTAGTGAAAATCACAAATTAGCTTCTAGTGGTAAAAAGTGAAAATTTTTTCTTTCATATCATTTAAAAAAATGTTTATTTTCACTAAGATTTAAACAGATTTTAAAAACTCAGTAAAGTTTAATTCTGGCATTTTCCCTTATATTTAAATGTATTATTCCCAACCTCCATTTCTAATACTTAGAACTGTTTTGTTACATACTTGATTCTCAAGAGAAAAAGTACACTTAAATTTTGAACTTTTTCCTTATCTCTTCCTTTCTGTAAACACTAGCCCCTACTTTCTTAGAAATTGCAATTTTTACAACTGAATTTGCAGATTGCTAGTATATACCATTTAAATAATCAACCAGCATTTTACTGAATTATTTTTAATAAGATGTTTCCAAAATCTGTTACAAGGAAGGGAAAAATTTCACACGCAGTATACCTAATATACCCATGCTTTCAGTGATCAAATACATATCATAAGCCTACTGGTTGGTTACTTGCAAATGGCAGCGAAACTAGATCTGTTCAACAGTTCAAGTTTTATTTTAATATAGAGAGCATCAGAACCTTTCCCTGCACTCTGGTTTAAGGAAAAAGAAATTTAAGTAAAGCAAATTCATCATGAGTTCTTGGGCTCTCCTGTCTTGAGGTCAGTCAAGTTCTGCAACCCAGTTGCTTGTATTTTCTATATAGGGTTTTTAAGAGCCAAAATAAAAAATTTGGTTAGTTTTAATACATAGTAGCCTCCAAATATAGCCTTAGGAAATCTTTCAACAGAGGTCAAGATAAAAAAGGAATCTTGACTTAAAATTCAATTAAACAGAGTACCCATCTTCTCCACTGCAGCCAATTACGGTTTCTACTGTACTTGAATGAATTCTTAGGTATACAGGATAAATGCCAGCCTTACCCCCCCACCTTTCCCCTTTGTGTCAAAACCAAGAAACCACTGAAACTTAGAATACATGCTCTCTAGGAGCCCCCAAGTTTTCCTGTAATGGGAAAATGGCTATTACCACTAGGGACATCAGTTAACACCGTTATCTTATTTATAAATTGCTAAACCAAACAAAAACATCTTCGCAAACTTCAAACATACTTAAGTTATCTTGAAATTACTCAGAGATTAGGTAATTGTATATCAATCAACAGAAATTCTACCTGTTGGACATGCTAGACAGTACTTTAAAATTACAAATAATACCATTTATATTAAATATTGGTTCTGTAGTTATTTAAAAATTCCAGCGCCAAGCTGCCTCCTTATCACTCACCAAAATGTGACCAGGTAGCCAATGAAATAGTCACTTTAAGGACCAACTGGTTAACTATGTATCAAATACATCCCATACTGGACAGATCTATGCAAGATACTTGTAACAGCCTCTTAAAGTATCTGTTAAGTATCAACCACCACTTTCAATCTTTAATAGCAAGAGCAAGTACATAGATATTCTCATCAGCTCTTTTTTGAATGGTGCTGGGGGGATCAAACCCAGGGCCAGGGATGCTAGTCAAGCTCTCTACCACTGTAGCTCCTCTCATCAGATTTTTAAGGCTTTTAGGAGTTTAGCAACTCTTGAGATTGGTCATCAAAACAACAGTAATTGAATACTAAAGCTTTAAGCACAAGAGTGCAGAATGCAAATGATTCCAAAACTATCAGCTTAAAATTAATTTCTCTTAAACAAGCCTTAAGTCTTTTTTTTTTTTTTTTTTTAAATGTTCTGAAGTGTTCAGAACCCACTCTGCAACCAGCTCGCTCTAACTGGTTCCTCGAGGAATGTGGCTAGGCTGAAATTTTGGAAGTGTTGGCTTTGGTGGTGACCATGGAGGAAGAAGTCTCTGCCTTCCCTGTTGCTGCAGTTCCCACCCTCCAAAATGAATATACCCACCGGTGTGAATTGACAATGTAGTCCAAAGAGCAAGGCAGGAAACGGAGTCCAGATCCTCAAAATGGCAGTACAGGGCATAACCACTAGGCCACCTATCAGTTCAGTACAAAAAGTACAACCCTGTGCATCATGGTGCAAAAGCTGGGGCCTAGGTTTCGCATTGTGCATCTCACACCTATGGAAATAACAAGAGGAGTAAAATCTATAGAAATCAACACACCCTAAGAAAGTGGGTGCTCACAGAAGACTGGTGTCACCATTTGCAAAGGTGGTTGGCTACTGACATAACTTATGGCAATTGCATGACCAAAACTGGAAGGAAACAAAATCTTACAATCAACTCCGTTGAGTCTGGCAATGAAGAACTCAACATGGGCTTGGTGTTTACCAGTGAAGCTTTGCAAATCATGACACCCAACTCTCCTGTTTATGAAAATTACCACCCCACAAAAACCTAACATCCCTTGAGAACGTTTTCTAACTCTGAGTTGGAACGATTAGGTGTAACCAATGCTCAGGTTTTAGACTCTCTTCTTTGCCACCTGACCTTGGAAAGACACGTTGACACATTCAAAGCTTAAGATAAAAGAATTCTAGAGAAAGGAAACTTATGACCCAAGGATGTGCCAAGGTGATTGATTCGTCAAGAACCAATGTGGATTGTCTGAGGGTCAACAGTTTTGAAAAAAAGGGGAAAACTTCTAAAAAGCAGAGTGGATTTCCTAAAAGAAATAAACTCACTGCTCTTGACTCCCTTAATCCTTCGCCATGTTGCTGTCAGCTCACCAACTAAGGCAAGTGTGTGCGTCTTGCTGGGCCCATTTTCCCATGGTCTGTAGAAGGCGCTGTGAAGCACATCCTGTTCTAGTTCTGGGGCCCTTCCCCCCTCTGCAGCCTTACCCAGTGCAGAGAATGCGCCCCCTACTGACTCCAACACTCATCGCTTTTAGCCGACTTGGCTGCGGTGCATTTTGGGTGGGGGCTGGTATTTTCTTCATGGCCATAGACCAGAAGCAACAATACAGATTTACAAAGAAACTGTATCAAGCTATCCAAGAGACTTTTTTTTTCATTCTGAAGGTTCAAGACATAGGCACAAGAAGCATCAGGAATGGGAACTAGGTGTGTGGGGATGGACAGCATTAATATGGCTAACACAGGAAACAGTGGTTCTATTTCCCTCCTAAGCCTTTGTCTGTGAAATGGGGTTATGGCAAGAACTGTCCAGGGGAATTGGTAAATGCAAGAACGTTAAGAAGACTCTTGGGGGGGTGTGTGTGTGGCTAAAAAGGATATTAGACTTCATAGCTTGATCTTGGACAGAAGAGGAAGAGAAGCAATCGCGCCTTTTCCAGCAGACAGGCATCCAGGTTGGGGGGGAGGGGAAGGCAGGCAGGCAGGCAGCCCGAAGGAAAGAAGACGTGAATAAGAGGGTGCTCAAAGAACTACTCCATTCATTGCATTTAAAAACAAAAAAAATCTTTCTGCAGCTTTCTGGGTTACCGTTTTCTGCCATCTTACTGCAAAGTTGGGGCTCAGAACGCTCGTGAGAGGTCGTGCTGACCAGGCAGCTGAGATTGAGAAAGGGGGAGGTGGAGGCCGTAGTGAGCACAGGAGGGAGGCTGGCACGTCGGGGAGGCAAAGACTTTCACTCCGTGCCATGCATGCTCCCCGCCCCCCGCCCCCTCCCCCTCCCGCAGCTCAGGATGGGCAGACCTGGCAGAAGGCTCGTTCCGGGCCTTGGGGTGTGCGTGGGGGGCTGGCTTGGGGGAGGGGGCGGAAGGGATTAGTTCCAGGGACGGGAGAAGCTGGGGACTGGCTGGGGGCGGGGTGGGGAGGATGCCATGAGCTGCAAAGCCCGGGTGGCCGGGCTGGCTGCCGGGCTCGGCGCGCTCGCAGGGCGGGGAGGGTCGGGCTGCAGCAGGAGAGGCGGCGGCCGGACCCCCGAGCGGGGCCGGGTAGCGGTCCGCGGTGTGTGCAGCGGGAGCGTGCGCCCGGGGCGGGCGGCGAGCAGCACAAAGCGCCGCGGGCGGCGGCGGGGCGGGCGCGGGGCAGGGCCGCGGTCGGGCTTACCTTGAGTCGGCCTCGAGGCGCGCGCGGGGCCGGCGTGCTCGGGGGCCGGGCGGCGGCGGCGGCGACGGCGGCGGGCGGATGGCGGCGGCACGGCGGTGGCGGCGGCGGCGGCGCGGGCGGGGAGGGCGCGCCCGGGGCCTCGTCGCGCTCCGGCTCGGCGGGCTCCGGCTCGCGCCGCGGCCGCTGCCGGGGGCGCGGCGGGCGCAGCAGAGCGGCGGGCGGCGGCTCGAGCGGCTCCCTCCAGTCCGCGCGGGCGGCGGCGGCAGCGGCGTCGAGCGGTGCAGACAAAGGAGGGGCAGAGGGAGGAGACGGAGGGTGTGGGAGCGGCGGCTTCACCGGCGCGGGCGGGCGGGCGGCGGCGGCGGCGGCCGCGCTCCTCGGCAGCGGGAACCGAGAGAGGGAGCTGTCTGAGGAGACGCCAAAATCCCCCTTAGCGCTGCCTGCGGGAGGGGGAGGGGGCACAAGATGGCGGCCGGGGGGCGGGAGTTCAGCTCATGGATCCCGGCGGGCGGCGGAGGGGAGACCGGGCCGGCGGAGGCGGCGGCGACAACGGGCGGGGGAGGGGCCGATCCCGCGTCTCCCCTCAGCAGACAATACAAGCGCCTGGGAGCGAGTCCCCGAACCTGCCCTAGCCAAAATGGCGGCCGAGAAAGAGCGGAAGTGACGTAAGTGCCTCATTAGCATAAGAGGACTCATTGTCCAGCTAAGTAGGGGGAGTATTGGGGGGCAGCACCCCACTCCCTCCTGCTCCCCAGGGACCACTCTCCTATTCCCATTCGTTCTGGCACCCAACTTTTCCTGCGGCAGGGTGCCCCCAGCACCCTCCACTCCCGCCTGGGGAAATTATATAATCCCCACTGAGGGGGAGCTCTCGCGAGAACCAGAAGGATTTGCCATTGACCCACTAGGAGGCGCCGCAGATAATGGCCGCACTGCGCTCCCGGGGTCCGTGCGCTCGGCGGGCGCCTTCCTCTGGCCGCAGCGGCGGAGGCAGAAGCAGAGGGCCGCAGCACGCAGGCACTCTGTCAGGTGGCCGCGCTGGGGATCCCTGCGCGGGCCCAGTTGGGCCTGGACTACATCTGGCGGGAGGGGTGTGCGGGGCAGCGGGCGGCTCCACGTGCTCGCAGCGCGCGCGCTCACAGGCTGGGCAGCCGCAGGAAGGGGCAGGACTCCTGCGGGTCGCGCCTGGGCCTCCAGCCCTAAATTAGGTGTGAGGGCCTCGTGCTACGCACACCCGCGAGAGGCTAACCCCCAGGGCACACCTGAGCCCTTCCTGGTAGTACCGGGTGGCTAGGGTGGACCTTCAGTCTCAGGCTGCTGAGGCCGAAGGTGACAAGTGGTGTTGTCAACGAGCCACCACGAGGTCCTCACTGTGCTCCCGCAGTCGGATCTCAGAACAGCACAAGGACAGGAATCTCTGATACTTGTGACTTGAGATCAGCCTCAACCAAGGCATCATCTCAACATCAACGCAGTGCGTCACTGGCTAAACACTAACAAATGCCAGTTGGGAAGGGTTAGCCAAGACCATGTTTTGAACACGTGGTCTGAAGTACTTTCACCGTTTCTTTAGGCCACAAGTTAAAGTAATTTCAACTTACACTTAATATCTCAAAAGAATCTGGCTTGTGAATTGTGATTACATACAGCTCAAACACTTAAGAGTTTGGTTAAGGAAGTTTTACGAACTTTCATCCAACATGCTGTTCAATTAATTTGTGGAATTGTGATTCTATCTTTAAAAGACAAATCAGTATTTCAATGGAAAATGAGCTGGAAGAATGTTGTTGATAAGAGATTTGAACTTGGGGCTTCGCATTTGAGGTAGGTGCTCTACTGCTTGAGCCACACCTCCAGTTTGGAAGAAGATTTAAAAACGAGTGGAGGTGGGGGCAAAGCATTTGATTCAGAGGACTGAAAATGAAGAATCCAATTACACATTGTAAAGACAGGCAAAAGCTAATGCAAAATAAGCAAAATACATTCCACAGTCAGACTTGGATTTCACACAGTGATAACACAAGTATGAAGGACAACATCTGGAATTCATCCTTGGCTTCATTTAAGAAGAAAAGGGATGCTGGATTCATAAGAAGATGTTTATAAAGATTTAACAGTGTTTAAGTCACCAGATTTACTACAGAAATGCACAATAGTCCAGATTCTTTTCTGAATGACTTCCAAATGGTGAAAGTGCTCACTGTTCAAATACTCAGTGAATTCCAATGGTGATAGTGTTGATAAGATTGTGGAAATAAGATGAAAAAGAAAAGTTATACTCTCTCTACTGTGTTCTCTGAGGGCTAGTTTCTGTTCTGTCTATATGACCTTGAAAACTTAACTCTAGGTTTAAAGAATATATAGTTTTCAATACTCCAAAAGAAAACAGAGATTATAATCCTGTTTTTGTAGTTTGAAACTAATTTTACATCAAACACTGATGAATCTCCAATTGTTATTAATGGTGAAAGAAGTTACTTCTTCAAGGAAAGTTGGTCCCCAAGGGCTAGTTGAACAGCTCTCTGCAAAAGGGAACTAGAATGTTAGTGGTCCTTATGAGACCGTGTTATAGGTCCCACTATGGGAGTATAAGAGAGGTTTGAATGTTCAAACTGGCAAAGGGTTTAGTTTAGTATTCATTTCTGGCAGGACCAGAGAGATGTAAATGAAAAATCATGGGCTGGTGGAGTGGCTCAAGTGGTAGAGCACTACCAAGTGTGAGGCCTCAGTTCAAACACCAGCTATGCCACCCACCCCCCAAAAAAAGGGGGAAAGATCACACTTTCAATTTCTTTAGCAACCAAATTAAGCCAAGAAAATGTAGTACATAAGAATATTCTTCACTAAATGTGGTTAAGTAACTTAAGAGACTTCTCTTTTTACGTCTGAAGATGTCCTTACTCAAATTTTAAAAGACACTGCATGACCCAAAACCTACACTACAGTTACAAATTAACTGATCTTTTTTGAAATACCCATGTTAGAGGAGGTGGGCAAATGGATTTTTTTGCTATAGCTTAATGGACCAACTCATCCTTCATTTTAACAGGCAAAACAGCTACAGAGAGGAGCTCTGTAGCATTAGCAAAGATGTGAGCTTTGTTAAAGGTTTTGAAATATGAAAACAAGTATTTTGAATTAAAACAAGGCAAAATATTTTTCCTTACTGATAGAAATTATTGCTCAAAACAAAACAACAGCTTTGTAGTCAACTGCCACCAAGGTGTTTTCCAGTTGACAATATACAACTTAAACAGACTCAATCTGAAGTACATGACATAGTCACCAATTCAAACCCCACTCTGAGCGTCTGCTCTAAGTATATTATATCTCCTTCAACAAATTTGATACATTTTTAAAGAAAGGACAGAGATCTGTATTTCTTTTTTGATCCATGCAAAAAAGCCATATGGATTTCATAAATATTTACCTTCCTTTTTTTTTAACATCTATTAAGTATAAATAGCTATGAATATGGATTTTATAACACATATTTCAGATTCTTTCCCATATGAGAAACTTTGCCTCCACATACTGTAATGAAAGCAGCAACATGTTATGTAAAAACCCATATGCATTTATTTATAGGTCATCATACAGCAAAATGTAACAAAAACTGAGAACATCACTCACTAAACCAATAACTTAATTTTAATTTGAAATATAAAATGGAGTTTCTCTAGAGAAAATATTTGCATGATGTTTACTTTACCTTATGTTCATGGTCTAAGAGTACATTTTATAAAAATCAGTAACCAGGCTTCTTTTTATGTTTAAATTGAAATGAACATGGTAGGTATAAATGAAAAACTTTCTTTTATGTAGTAGCAAAAAGAGTCAATAATCCTTTCAAGAAAGAGACTATTTCATTTCCTCCCAACTTGGATTCACCATAAACTCGATCCACAAATGATATTGGAACCTGGTTAAAAAATATAATCAAAGTCAGTTTTCAAAAAGTTGGAAGAGAAGTGCAGCAGGTAAACCACCATTGCCATGCAACAGAAAAAGAGTCAGGCCTACAGCAAAAGGGCTTCAACTAAGTTCAGCTAGGAGATTCACAAAGCTACTATGTGGATCCTTAAATCACACACATATTTTACTATCTTAAAAATAGGTCCTAAGAACCAAATCCACAACTGTTTCAAAAGGACCACCCCTGAATATGATGTTGCTTTACTCAGGTTTCAGACTGCATTTCAAGGAAAAACCATACCAGAAAAAGTAAAATGGCCTTTCACTTTGTTTTTTCAGTTTGTCATGCTGCAGCATTAAATGAAAACTCATAATTATAACTTCCCTCCATGAGAAGTAGCATTCTAGGGTGGCTGTTTTCTTACTGTGAACAAGAGTTTAGTGCAAATGAGGAGTCGTCTTCCTAAAAGCTCACCAACCAGCCCGAAATATGTGTGTTTCCCCCAACCCCACCCTGTATCCCACCCCAGCTCTGTGCTATGTTATCTCTGGCCACTTTCATTTACTCTCAGGAAATGGACGTGTGGGACTCATTTTAAAGTACAGTGACTGTTGGCTACAAGAGGAAAAACAGCTAAAAGACTCACACTAAAACACTGATTTGGTCAGAAGAAAGGGCTAAGGTGGAGGAGGTAGTACTAACTTAATTATTTAAAGGGAAAAGCTACCTTTAGATAATGTGTTAAATATCAATGGGTCAAATGTTTTCATTTGAAATGGGTATAAGCCAGGAGCAGTGGCTCCTGCCTCTAATTCTACCTTCTGGGGAGGCATGTATCAGGAGGACTGAATTTGAGGTTAATCTGGGAAAAAGTAAGCAAGACCCCATCTTAACCAACAGCATTGGTGGTTCAAGCCTCTATTTCCAGCTGTGCCGGAGGCGTAGGTAAGGAGGATCGCTATCCAAGGCTAGTCCTGAGCAAAAACTCAAGACCCTTTCAGAAAAATAACTAAAGCAAAAAAGGACTGCAGGCATGATTCAGGTGGCAGAGCACCTGCCTAACAAGTGCAAGGCCCTGAGTTCAAACCCTAATACTGCCAAAAAAGATTTCATTTTTCACCTTGTAGTGAATGGACATGCCAACCAAGTATACATCCAAGGTATTAACTGAGCAGTTATGAAGGTTAAAACTTTTTTTTTTCTTTTTTTTGGGTGGGAATGGGGTGTGAACTCAGGGCTTTGCACTTGCAAAGCAGGCGCTCTACTGCTTGAGCCACACCTCCAGTCCATTTTATTCTGAGTGTTTTGGTGATAAGGTCTTGCTAAGTATTTGCCAGGGTTGGCCTCAAATCCTCCAGATCTCAGCCTCCAGAAGGAAGTAGCTAGGATTACAAGCGTGAGACAGTGGCTCCTAGCCAAAGATTAAAACTTTTTGTAAAAAGTCTAAACTTTACTATTCCCTTACAGGGAATACAACATCCTCCTACTTACCTCACCAATAGTATAATTAAACTGTCTTGCCCGAACAATCATTTCCATCTGGAAGACGTAGCCTTTGGAAACACATTTTTCTATTAATTTCTGTAGAACTTCTTTCCGGTATAATCTGTAAGAAATCAGAATATCTATAAACTTTTGGATAACCACACTTGTGTACATGTATCTTGAGCTTTCAGAGAGTTCACTGATACTTATTAAGCCTAGAATTTCCACTAGCCATTGGTATACAGAAAAGTTCTCACAGTTAAATGACTATGATACCTCTTTTTCTTTTTTGGCAGCACTGGGGTTTGAACTCAGAAGCTAGAACTTCATGCTTGTAGGCAGGCGCTCTACCACTTGAGTCACTCCACCAAAAAAGCAGCCATGCTTTTTTGTCAAGCAAGAAAGGCCATGAAATGTGTGCTAAGTAATTTATAATTCTGAAAATGAATTCTTAGTATTTTCTAGAGAATTTTAATACTATCAGGAATTATTAAAATAAGGTAAATTTTTTTTACCTTATTACTTTTACCTTTAAATTTTCCTAAAATCTGTATTTGTAGCTGGTGGCTACACCTGTAATCCTAGCTACTCGGGAGGTAGAAATCAAGAGGACTGAGGTTTGAAGTCAGCCTCAGGCAAATAGTTCTTGAGATCCTATCTCAAAAATACCCAACACAAAAAGAGTTGGCAGAGTGGATCAAGTGATAGAGCACCTGCCTTGCCAGCATGAGGCTCCAAGTTCATATGCCAGTACTGCAAAAACAAACAGAACAAAAAATAATATTTTACATTTGTATTTGTAGTTGAAAGGGGAGAGGCTGTTCCAAATACTGCACAACAGAGCTGTAGATGATAAAGTAGCAACAATATATACCAGATGGCCAGAAAGAAACCAGTGGAGTGGTAGAGAGGCCCAAGTGGTAGAGCACTTGCCCAGCAAGTATGAGGCCCTGAGTTCAAACTCCAGTACCACCCAAAAAGAAAGCCAGTGATTAAGGAATTTCCCCCATAAACCTCTACTTCTGAGATTGTCTTAATCCATTCCCAAAGATAAAGCAAGTCCCTCAGGGCTGAGTTGATTAAGCTGAGGAAAGACAGGAAGTAGGTATCACAGGATGGAGGGAGGGGATCCTGGTGGGATTGTTGTATGGACAGCTGAGGTTATACAAAGGGCCAATGCACAACCTAAGGTCAAACAGAGCTAACCAGATTCACAAAGACAGAGGAGCTGGGAAGTCCTGAGGGTGAGTGCATCACTTTCTTCAGTAACTGAATAGCAAAGAGATCCCTGTTTTCTTTCCTCATTGATTTACTTAAATCAGTGGGCAGGGAGGCAGTTTGGCATAACTTTGTGCTCTGTGAAGTTAAGACCATGTGGACCTACAGCGCCGATGGGTGTCAGCCTGAAACCCAGACTTTATTTCAGGTTTGCTGTAAGGCTATCCTACCGTTTGGCTTCTAAGACAAACACAGCACATATGCATATGTATATATGGAGAAGAGGATAATGGAAAAGGCTTTAGATAAATATTTAACTTGTCTGCACACAATGCTCTAAGTATTTATATAAACTATAGGAAATTACTGAGTACATGCAGTATAGTATTCTAAGTATTGTAAGTCCTGTATTCAACATCTTTTTGGGGGGAGGGGGCCAGAGGGATGAGAGTTGGATTTGAACTCAGGGCTTCATGCCTGCAAAGTACATTCAACTTTTTAAGAAAAAGCAGTTCCTCATTGAAGACATTTAGGCTTCTCTAGAACGTTGAAGGAAAGAAAAGCATCTTTAAAACAGCCCTTTGAAACACAAGTAATTTATATAAAAAGTTATAAATAGTAGAAGCTTCCACTGTACCTGAAACTTCCTGTTAAATCAGATGCTCCTGGTCTCAGCAAAATCTGAGTTATAAAATTGGCTCCACGGCTGCCAAATAAAAGACTTTTGTTATTAAGTATAATTTAGAAAGAAGAGAAGTATATCCAAGAGCAGAGCACTAAAAATGCTACAATACAGCTGGGGCGTGGCTCAAGTGGTAGAGGGCCTGCTTAGCTGGTGCAAGGCCCTGAGTTCAAACCCCAGTGCTATGAAAATAAATAAATAGTAAGTAAATAAACAAACAAGACAGAAGTTCATAAATCCACTGCTAGTTTCACAGAAATGTCAATTCTCTAGAACAAAGAAATTTTTAGTCAATGAAATGACTTGTGATAATCATTTTTCAAAAAAACAGGGAATTTCATTTTTTGACAGTGAAATTTAGAAGAGACCAATCAAGTAACCATCCTTCCAAACTTTAGCTACAAATATGCCAAATAGAACTGGTATATCTTGTCAGACAGAAAAAGAGATCAGGGACTTGATAAGGAATTTGTCAAGACAGAATTTCCTTTTCAGATTCCAATAACCACAGACAGAATTTTCACCTAGGTAACAGGTCATACCTTAAAGAAAATATGCAAGGCTGAGTATGGTGGCTTCTGCCTATAAGCTACTTGGGAGGAGACTGGGAGGATCACAGTTTGAGGCCAATCCTGGTGTAAGAGGTGCTTAAACTGCTTTTGCTAAAAAGCACAGACTCTTTACTTGGGCACACGAATTAACTAAAAACAGGAGAAGCATGGCATCCTGCCTCCATCTTGTACTTGTCTGTGCTCTAAGCCACTCCCTTTGCAATCACCTTGGATTCCAGAAAGGACAGAACTGATACCATCTTTATGACAAGGGACTGAGACTTCCCATAAGGAACAGCAGAGCCTTACAGGACAGACCACCCCTCTAAAGGAGGCCAATTACCTGTAATGATGAGGCTGCACCCTGGAACAGGAACAATCATCTCCTGGGAACCAGACTGCTTCCCTCAAATGACAGTGGTAACATCTTCTCCAGAACCCTTCTCAGAACCCTGGGACTGAGATAATGGTCAACCAGCACACACCTGTGACTGGGACTGTTTATGTATCTCTTTGTCCCCTGCTACCAGTTCATTTGTCTACTTGAACCTATAACCCATGTCTATACCCTGAAGATGGCTGAAAATTAGCATCTTACTTTGCCTCTTCCCATGGCATGTCTTGAACCGTGTAATAAACCTCCTTTCTCTGCCTTCACCATGCCTCTTTATTTGGTGTTTAGGAGCTAGCGGCCAGAGATGGCATGTGGAATCCCAAGAGTTTGAGCCTTGGGTCAAACACTTCAATTTCACTGACAAAACATTACCAAGACCCCATCTCAATAAAAGAAGTTGGGTATGGTGTTTCCAGCTGGTCATTCCAGCTAAGTGGGAACCATAAATAGGAGGATCTCTGCCTGGACCAGTCCAGACAGATATGGCTCATGTGGTGGGGGGAGCACCTGCCAAGAGTTCAACCTTGAATACCACCAAAAAAAAAAAGAATACAAATAGGACAGCATCTTGGTTTCTGGTAATCTCTAGAAACTGACATATTCCCTAAGCCTTATTAGTTTGCTTGACTACTGTAAGAAAATACCTTATACCAGATGGCTTAAATTATGCAAATTTATTTCTCAGTTTTGGAGACTGGGAAATCAAATATCAAGGGGAGGGAGAGAGAGCAAGCTCTCTGTTCTCTATTGATAGGGACAATGATCCCATGTCCTCAAGATAACTTCCAAACTCATCTATCTCCTCAGTCCATAACAGCAGCATTATGGTAATTACTTCAAACCCAACTGAGTATCAACCATAGGCACTAATCACTAACAGCTATTAACATTTCAAAAACATGTCATCTGCCTGAAGAAAGTGACTTCTGTACTACACTCAGCACACTCAGCTTCAGGAAAAGTTTTCTGGGACAGTCTGAAAGTGAAGTTTCTCTACAAAGCCAAGGCCTCCCTGGCAAAGATTATCTTTATATAAATCTCAAGGTCAGGGAACAAAGCTGAGATGATGTCTAACAAAAACGTTCTCCCTTCAGGGTGCTTCTATAGCTATATGAATGTGATGAGACAGTTTACTCCCTGGCCCTTCATGGGTTTAAGCTAAGGAATGGGTGTTTAAGTGCATGTATTCTTTCAAATTTCTATTTTTTGTTTTACTTTGGTTTGTGATGGGGTCTTGCTATACAGCCTTTTGCCTCTACCTACAGTGTTGGAATTAAAGCCATGCACCTCCATGCCTGGCTTTCAACCGTGGTGTTTTGATTACAATTCATAAAAGTCCTTTAGGCATGAGTCTGAATTGCAATTCTGGGCCATGTTAGTGAGACCTAGAATTTACACACCAAGGAGAGTGCAGACATAAGCAACTATAAACACGTACAACTAAACACAAAGGTTGGAATGTGTCTCTGACTAAGGCTCCTCAATTTTAAGTATCAGGTGAGTAGCTAAATTGTTCTCAACCTTGGCTGAACAACAGACTCGTCGGGGGAGCATGTGAAACACACTAATGCTTTGCTCTGCCTTTGGAGAGTCTCATTCAAATGGCCTGTACTGGGAGGGACAAGAGAGGACAAATGAGGTAGCTGTGTATGACTTTCTCCCCACATGATTCAAATGTTAGAGCAGGACAGAAAACTAATCTTGTCCAACCTCTTCATTTCACAGAAGATTACAGCTTTTGAGTACTCTAAAAGACTACTCCAAGTTCCATAATGGAGGCAGAACTGAGATGGACTCTACATTTCATTCTACAGGAATGAAATGGGTAATAAAAGATATTAATGATAGGAACACGTCACCTTCCCATAATCCTGAAAAGTGAGGTAGATTAAATTTGACAAAAAATTATTTGTCTTTCCTTCATGAGGGATTCTCTTCCCTCACCTGGTTTGTGCATGAGCCCCAGAGGCTAACATTCAAGGGGCTTGCAGCTTCTGCCTTTGTATCCTTGGACACTGCTCTAGGATGCCATGTAAAGAAGCTAGTCTGGCCTTCTGATGGAGGTCATGTTCAGAACTAAAGGCCCAGTGACCAGCACTAACTGGTCATCTAGGACCTGCCAACACAGCTGACCCTCAGGCTTAAGGAAACCATGTGATTGAGCAACCAGCCAATCCACAGAATGGTGAGTTATTGTCACTGAACTGTGGGATGTCTGTTATTAGTACCAGAAAACCAAAAGATGGTTTTCTTCCATCTTAAGATGAAGAAAGTAAAGCTTAGATAGGTAAAATATAGCTGGACGCTGGTGGCTCAGTCCTATAATCCTTGTTACTTGTGGATGCTGAGATCAGGAGGATCTCAGTTTGAGCTCTGCCAGGGCAAATAGTTCACAAGACCCCCTCTCCAAAATAACTAGAGCAAAATGGCCTGGAGAAGTGCCTCAAGCAGTAGAGCACCTGCTTTGCAAGTGTGAAGCCCTGAGTTCAAACCCCAGTCCCGCTTAAAAAAACAAAAAAAAAGTTAAGATGTATAAGGTAACAGGTAATTAAATAACAGAATGTTAACAAAAAAGAAAAACAAAGAAACAAATGTTGGTTAACCCAGGTCTGTCTGACCCAAAAGCCCCACCGCTTTACGCTACTTAGTAAAAGGTGAAATTATAAAAGTGTCTCATGACATACATGGGGAACTCTCCTAGTCTGTCCAAAGAGTCAGATGACAAGAAATAAGACTTAATGCCCAGCAATGACTTCTGTGTGACCAGACCACTTTTATCAAAGGCTCAAGGGTTTGTGCTACTTTTTCCTTAATGAAAAAACATCCAGAATAAAAATCTAAGCAAATGAAAAACTGCAGGCAAGAAGCTACCCGGGATTTTTACCTGCAGTATAACCCAATCCCACAAATCTAAAGGCACCATGATAGTCTTAATACAAACACTCTATTTCCAAAAGTTACACTAACAGACATTACAGCACACACACAGACACGCATACCTGATTATTTTTCTTTTCAAATCCCAGCCATATACACCTCCATTTCCCCTGTAGCGAGTTCCAGAGACAATATCAAAATTACCCTCTTTTTGCTTCCTGTAGAAAAAGAAAATTAACTGTCAATTGGAAAAAGCTACTGAGCTTTTCACAGGCCTTTTTATGAGACAGGCAGGCAGGCAGGCAGGCAGACAGACAGACAGACACACACACACACACACACACAGAGCTATGAAAGGAAGCAGAGGAAAAGCACAAGGCCAAAGGAAAAGGACGATGTACTTTGAAATGGGCTTTCAACTCTCATTCTGTTTCTTGTACTCATTTTTAAACAAAAAAATAAAACACCACTATTTTCGGATTATACCATGCAAAGCCACCCTACAAGGTTTCTCCAGTCCTCATCCATTATATTAATGCTCCCCCTGAAGAAAATGCAATGCTAAAACAGCATGCTATCACTCTAGGCCTTTCTCTTTGCTTACAGAAAATCCATCACACACATACCAAAGGTTTTGGTTACATTTACGAAGTTAGAATCCATAAAGTCCACTTTGTGACAGTTTTCATCACTTAGTTTTCATCATGGAATCATGGACATCCCCACAGGGTCTCATTCTATAGCCCAGGATGGCCTCAAATTACCAATTCTCCTGCCCCAGGCTATAGAATGCTGGTATTATAGGTATATATCACCACACCCAGTTCCCATTCCTTTTCATAGCTGCAAAAACAAATAGTCCAGACTAAGACTGGAGGTGTGGCTCAAGTTGTAGAGCACCTGCCTAGCAAACGCAAGGTCCTAAATTCACACCCCAGCACAACAGGGGTTAGGGGTGGGGGAGGGGAGTTTATTCAACACAGACCTCTGTAATTGTTTTCATGGTAGGCTCCCTTCATCCCCAACAACAAAACCACAATGAATAATGCCACAATAAACATTCTTAAAAATACACACTTTGAGGCTTAGACTCTCCAAAATGTATGTACTGGAATGACCAAAACAAAGCTCTTGATTATTTTTAATTCTAACACATTGATAGAAATTATTTTCCACAAAGGTTTGAGCAACTCATACTTCCTTCAGCAGTATCTGAGTGTGTCCATTTTTTTTTAAATCACTTTATTATACTGGATATTACTGCTCTAGAAGTTTTAAATTTAGAAATTAATGGATAATACATTACTTCTGTCATTTGCATTTTCTTGATTGCGTAACAGGGAGAACTTCTCTTATTTGTAGCCATCTGAGTTTCTTCTACATAAGGCCTGCTTGTATGTCTTCACCCATTTTCTACTATATTGTTTTTATTTCATTAACTGGTCAAAGAAGCATTTGAGACTTAGAGCTATACACAGAGAAGGTTGAAAGCAACTTGATGCAGAAGTAAAAGGATGAGAAGAAGCTGGCCATTAAGGAGCAGGGAGAGAGCATTTTAAGCAAACAACATACAGCTCTGTGAACTGGGATGTGAAGGAGTATGCCTGTGGCCATGAAAGCAAAGGTGAGGGGGCATAAGATGAAGTCAGAAAAGGGGGCAGGGGCCAGCTCACACAAGGTTTGAGGGACAAGGGAGTTTGGATTTTTTCCCAGGTGTGACTGTGCTCTCCCTCAAGTACTCTAAACAGGATAGGGACATGATCTGATTCCTTTTGTATTTAGCTTATTCTCAGAACAGTTTCCAAATTGTTAATGATAGAGGTTTCTTGGTCTCTTGGATTTTCTAAGAAATTAACTTATCACCTTCGAACAAACACAATTTTGTATCCTTTTCCAATATCTACCTAAATTTTTTCCCCTTCACCCCCACAATTTTTCTCTTACTGTATGACTTAAAATATCCACGTATAATGACAGTGGCATATTCATCTTAGTGAACTTACTGGAAATGATTCGGTATTTTACTATCTGGTACAATGTTTACATTAGGACTAGGCCATCTTAATCATGCTTAAGTGGTTTCCCTCTATTAAGTTTTTATTAGCAAAAGGTAGCAAATAAAAAATCTTTAGCAAGTCCAAATAATCATGCTGGTTCTTTCTAACATAAGTCAATTATATTGTGGAATACATTATAATAACTATTCTGGCATTCCTGAACAAACCCTATTTGGCCATGGTGTTTTATTCTAACGATTCAAGACTTAATTCCAGCCAACAGGGAATTCATCTTTTTTGTAGTCTGAAAAAATCTAGTTAGCAAAGTAATTATCTGTTGATTTGCCCCTCAGAGGTCCTAAAATATATCATTTAATCATATTACCTACATATATGAGTCTCAAATCTGTATGCTGGTTATATTTTTGATAGAAATTTTAAAGTATGTACATTTTTAATTAAAGAATAAGAAATGAAAACTCCAAACCCAGGAAGATAAATGGTTTCCATAAGTCTTTCAAATATTAGAAACAGTACCTACCTAATGAACTCAGGAATAAATTTTGGCTGAAATTTAGAAAAAATAAACAATAAGTCAGTAAAATAGAGTATGACTATGTTAAATAGCTAATAAAAAATATACCACTCACATGGTGAGAGAGATCAGCGTCCATAATGATTATATAGTTTCCTGTGGCATGTTTCATTCCGTGAATATATGCAGTCCCTAAAAATGCAAGTATTCATAGTTGTTAATAAAAATCACCAGAAATGCTTGAGCATGTATTTGATCAAGGAAGAAATCAAGTTAGCACCCAAAAAACAAGCATTAGTCCTATAAAAGTGGAAGTAAATTGGTAACTGTCCATCTTAAGTAATATAGTTTGCACGTATTACAAATATAATCAAGAAGATAGCTGGCATGGCCTGGAGGTGTGGCTCACGTGCCTAGCAAGTACAAGACCAAGTTCAATCCCTGGTATCAGGAAAAAAAAAGAAAGAAAAAAAAAAAAGGTAGCTGGCTACCTATTCTGCATTCAGATACTAATTTAATAAAAAAAAAAAAAACACCACACGTGCCAGGCACCACTGGCTCACGCCTATAATCCTAGCAGCCCAGCCAAATAGTTCATTGGAGGGCTGGTGGAGTGGCTCAAGTGGTAGAGAATCTGACTAGCAAGCCTGGCAAAGGTGAGGCCTTGAGTTCAAACACCAGTACCGCCAAAAAAAAAAGACCAAATAGTTCATGAGACCCTATCTTGAAAAAAACCCTTCACAAAAACGGACTGGTGGAGTGGCTCAAGGTGAAGACCCTAAGTTCAAATCCCAGGACCACCAAAAAAAAAAAAAAAAAAAAAAAAAAATCGCACCTGCCATTTCAGTTCAGCAAAGAAATGGTGTCAAAGCCCTTTATGCTGTTACTCCTTAATGTCCCCAAGACACACGAAGGCCAGGCCTCCTCTCCAGCTCTAGATTCACATGTCCGCTTCCTATGTGCTACCTTCACCTGCCTATTTGAGAAATCTCAAACATAAATCTCCAAAATCATTCCCAAAAATTCTTCCCTTGCAACTTCCCAGGAAGTAGCACTAGACACCTGACTAATGATCACTGATTCATGCTTTTAGCAATGATTTCTCAACTGTAACGAAGTGCTACTGATTCTGTATCCAGCCTACCCCTCGATTCTGTCCTCTTGGCCCCACCTTTACACTCCTTGCAGATACTATCAGCTGATGCCTGACTGGCGACCTAGAGCCTCCCACTTCTGCTCGCCCCAGCACTCCAAGTCCGTTTCCACAAAAGCTGCCCACTGAGTCTTCTTCCTTCAGCCACTATCCTGCTCTCATGAAGAAGGCCAAAGGCACAGCTAGCAATTATTTAGGTATGTTGTACCTGAAGTTTCCCTCGCGGGGATGTGGCAGGTTACTGGTCTAGAGCAAGATTTGGTAATCCCTGTATTCTCCAGCCCCAAATCATCACAATTAGGAGGAATAACTTCTGCCGGGCACTGGTTGCTCACACCTATAATCCTAGTTACTCAGGAGGCAGAGATCAAGAGGATCGAGGTTTAAAGACAGCCCAGGAAAATAGTTCACGAGACCCTATCTCGAAAAAACCCATCACGAAAAGTGGCTCAAAGTATAAGCCCTGAGTTCAAGCCCCAATACTGCAAAAAAAATAAATAAAAAGAGGAGGAGTAACTTCTAGTGTTTCATGGCATAGTAGGGTAACAATGGTTGACAGCTGAGTATCTCAGAGAGGATTTTGAATATTCCCAACACAAAAAAATGATTCATGTCTAACCATTACACATTGTACAGACAGTCTGCAACATCACACGTATCCCATAATTATGTGCAGTTATATATATGAATTAAAAAACGCAAGTTATCTTATTAGAAGATGAAGATTTTTGTTTTTTTATCTTATCTATCTATCTATTATTTATTTATTTATTTTTGAACCAGGTCCCCTGATCTCTACCTCCTGACTAGCTAGGATTACAGGCATTAGCCATCTGAGCCCAGAAAGACTAAGCTTTTCTAACAACTTTGGATAAATAACTATCGGGGCTGGAGCCATGGCTCAAGCCGTAAAGCACCTGCCTAGCAAGGGCAAAGATCTAAGTTCATACCCCAGTACCATTAAAAAAACAAACAAAAAAAGGTAATAAAAAACAAAAAGAAAAAAAAAGTAATTATCCATAGCTTTTTAGTGTGTGTGACTGGTCGATAACTCTTGGTAGCCTCTTCAGTATTTTACCCAAACAACCCTCTGGATTCAGATTTTCAGAATACTCCCCAACGCCAGGGAACTGCAGTCTTCACGACAGCAGATTTCAATTTTTAAAAATTATTGTTTTCTCCATGCTCCCCCAATTTTTTCACTGAAAGAATACCAATTCTGAGGCCAGGCATGGTGGAATACAGCTGTAATCCCAGGTACACAGGAGGCAGAGGCAGAGGTAGGAGGATGAAGTTTGAAGCTGGCCCCTGGCCCTGAAAACTACTATAAGCATACCTCAAGTGGTGGAGCACTTGAACAATCATGAGGCAGAGTTCAAACTCCAGTACAATCAAAATATAAGTGTACCAATTCTCTAAGCCAGAAGTGTAGCTAGTGGCAGAGCCCTTGCCTACCATTCATCAAGCACTGGATTCCACCCCAGTGCTGCAAAAAACGTATAACCAGTCCTCAACTGTGACCTCAACTGTGACCAACTGTGACCAAGAGCAGAAATAAAGGAATTCAATTTTATCTTAAAACGACTGAATTCACCTGAGATATTCTAAAAGGCCCTAGGTTTAAGATGGAAACTTTCTCTTTAGAAATAAAGTCATCTTTTCAACTTATAAAGAATGCTCAAAGGTCAACAGCTAAAGCAATATTCTGGCCCTTTCCTACACTATGCTATATTGTAGAGAATTGTATTTGCCAGGTTCTCTCTCTCTCTCCTCTTTTTTTGGCAGTACTGGGGTCTGATCTCAGGATCCATGCTTGCTAGGCAGGCACTCTACCACTTGAACCATGCTACCAGCCATTTTTGTGTTGAGTATTTTTGAGATAAGGGTCTTGCTTTTGTTGCGTGGGTTGGCCTCAAACTGCAATCCTTCTGATCTGTCTCCCAAGTAGCTAGGATTACAGAATTGAGCCAACAGCACCAGGTTCTCTCTTCAACTGGCTTCTAGACAGCTTTAGGAGATTCAAGTGGAAGACTGCAAAGAGGGAAAAAGGGAAAGTCTAAGTGTTCTCCCTCTTACTCAGGACCCAAGCATTGACTGTATATTCCAGGAGTCCTGTTCCTGCCAGGCTCCTTTGCCCCCTCTCTCTAGCTCCCTCTGAGTAGACCAAGTTCCTGGGCTTTAAAAATCAACCACTGTCTTTTCTCAGTCTCTTCCCACTGTTGCTTCATCATCCTCAAGGGGTGATAGGTAGCAACTTATTACTATTCCCATAGTAGCCTCTCTGTTCCAAATGGCTTCTCAAGAGTTCCTTTACTGGTAGAACCAGAGTTCATGTATTAAATTCCCTTTGACTGAAACACAGTAGTTTCTGTTTTCCTGAGTGGGCCCTAACCTACACAGGCGACTCAACTTAAAACCATTTAAATGTTATTAAGATCATTAAAAACCATCACAGAAGGTTACAGTTTTTTGGCCCTGTTCCAAACTGAGAAAATACAAACTGGGTAATTTTACCAAAGCAAGTGGAAGAAATAAGGTGTTAAGAGTTTCCACTTACCTAATCCCAACTTTTTCTCTCGTGGTCTTAGAAGCTATAGGAAGAAGAAACAACATTTCAACACAAATAAACACAATCTATTTTAAATTTTATTTTATTCCTGTAAGTATATACACATTTTAAGAGAAATATAGCTGCACTTATATAAACCTTAAAGCAGAGTATTCCTAATATTTTTTTGCCAAATTAAAAAAAGGTGTTTTGTATCAAATCAAATAGCTAAACACAGCTTTTGTAGAAGAGGAACATCTGTAACCCTAACCCTGCAGGTGAATTTTTGATGTTTTTTCTGGTGCAACCCATCATTTTATCTAATACTATCTTTTCTTTTTTTTTTTTGGCAGGATTAGGATTTGAACTCAGGTTTCACACTTACAAAGCAGGCACTCTACCGCTTAAGCCACACCTCTACTCCATTGTGCTCTGGTTATTTTGGAGATGGGGTCTCACAAATTATTTGCCCAGGCTGGTCTTGAACATCAATCCTACCATCTCAACCTCCCAAGTACCTGGAATTACAGGTATGAGCCACCAGAGCTCAATTTAATATTATCTTTACATCTATTACTTGATCTATAATTTTAAATAACGTGTATTGATTCTTTTCTAGAAAAACTGAGGCTTTAAATCACTATGCCTTTTTGGAGTATCTGGTAGCTATGTTTAATTCTCCAATTCCCTTTGTGACTTCAAATGCTGAGACCACTCTTCTACCATAACTTATTTTGGCTTTGTACTTGGACATCTCATTCTCTACTGGCCTAGCAACATGTGATATTGTTTTTAAAAAAAAAAGTTAAATTCTTTCTCTTCTCTTATTTGTCAAGTACTTAGTTTTTGCTTTGTAAACTTTCTGTTTCATATTCAGACCTTGACTTTACTGTTTAGCATGGGCCTTTTGGTTAGAAACTAGTGAGCAGATCTTGTGCCCTTCTGCATTTGCCCATAGATGAGCAGGATGTCTCAGATCTCTAAACAAAGCACTTTCAGTTCAATTCAAGCAAAATGGATTTTTTTTTTAAGCTACATGCAAGTTGCTGTAGGTCTGAGGAAGGAACAAAGATGGATATAATATAATCTTGTCAAGTAAGAGCTTATAGAAAGGAGAAATAAATATCCAAACACTAATCTACAAGTGTGAACAAAATCCAACAGGCTATGTCAGATGACAGCCAGATTTTATTTACTTTTATGACTGATAGTTATTGACAAAATACTGACTCCATCTGATATCTGTCCTAAAAAAGCAAATCTTTTAAAGCTCATTTGAGATTTCCTATATCCCTATTTCAGCTGGAAAAATCTTTCCTTAAAAAGATCACTCTATTATAAATTTTCAGAAAGTTCAAAGGTTTATGTCCATTCTTAAGCAATGCTGCATTTGGTAAGAATATTATTGATGCAATTAAAACAAATGTGAACTCTACTAACAAATTATCTCCAAGATACCATCAGAAGTTATTACAGGAAGACTGCATTGTGTTGAAAAAGAAAAAACAAAGCTGCTGGAGTGGCTCAAGTGGTAGAGCACATGCCTAGCAAGTATGAAACCCTGAGTTCAAGTCCCAGTACTGCCAAAATAAATGAATAAATAAATAAACATGAAATAAAACAAGCAAATAAAAAGAAAAAACAAGCCAGATGCCAGTGGCTGATGCCTATAATCCTAGCTACTTGGGAAGCTGAAATCGGTTGGACTGCAGTTCAAGGCCAGTGGGCCCAGGCAAATAGCTCACAAGATCCCATTTCCAAAATAACCAGAACAAAATGAAGTTACTGACAGCATCACTTGAGCAGTAGAGTGTCAACTTTGCAAGTATGAAGCCTGGAGTTCAAACTCAGCGCCCCCCCCCCAAAAAAAAAAAAAAAAGAAAAGAAAGAGAGGGGAGGAGGAAAGGGAGAGAAGGAGAGGAGGGAGGGACAGAGAAAACCCACAGGACTGGAGTTGTGGCTCAAGTGGTAGAATACCTGCTTTGTAAGCATCTGCTTTGCAAGCATGAAGACCTGGACTCAAACTCCAGTCCCACAAAAAAGAAATAAAAAGTACCACACTACCTAGTTCTACAGATGCATACACATATATAAAACATATGCAAGATGCACACATTATATGTACAAATAAATCACAAAAAGTGATACCAGGTAGTGCATAGCTCTGAATTCAAACCCAAAACACACACAAGGAACCCTAACTATGGACCTGACTCTCCCCCAGGGAAGGGACTGTGACAGAAGATTAGGAAGTACTCATCAAAAGCAAGTTCAGCATGGTAACATTTATATTCTGTAAGACTATACTTACTTACTCTTACATATTAAGTTCAAATTGTTTCTGTTTAATGTATTTTACTTTCAGAGCCTCCATAGTTCCAACCTCACCACCAGCCCTGACCCCATTTTTGCCTCTTCAATTCAGTCTGATGAACCCTTTCTGTAGCAGGGAGCACAGAATGCAGAGGAACCTGAACCCTGGAGCCACAATGCTTAGGTTTGAATTCTGACCATGCTGCTCACTTGTCAGTTGACTCTAGCACATAAAGGAGCACAAAGATACCCCATCACAGGGTTGGCACAAGGAATAAGCAGTGAATTCGTGACTAGTGCTTAGGAGAGTGCCAGGCACATATTCTTGAAGTATGAAATTTTAGAAAATTTTGAAAAAAAAAAAATCACTAATACAAAATAAACCAAGTTAGGTGACTGTGTTTAAAACATAACTACATTTTATGTATACTAGACATTTGTAGTTCTTATTTTATGAATGAATGTTATCTGGTTTGGGTAGTAATCCTGCTAAAAGGTAATATTTAAATAAAAGCTTAATTTTTAAAAATTTATCTTTTTTTATTGTTGTGCTGGGTGGAGCTACATTGTGGCATTTACAGAAGTTCTAATAATGTATCAGCTATATCATACTTGAATTCACCCTTCCATCTCTTTCCTTTATACCTTCCTCCCCACCAAAAGTTTAATATTTTTAAGTGGTCAAATCTCTTTAGTTTACAGTTATGTTTAAGAAATAACACTGTGGACTAGAGGTGTGGCTCACACAGTAGAATGCCTGCTTGCAAAGCCCTGAATTCAAACTCCAATCCAAAGCAAAGTGTTACATTTTATGATCAGAACTTATAAAAATAGTAAACTATGAAATAATGCTAAAATATGAGTAAGTTTTAAGGCTCTCACATACATCATGGTGACTACAGTCACCAGTGTCATACTGTGTACTTAGAATTTACAAGGAGAATGCATCTTAAGCGTTCCCACCACACTCAGGCACACATGCACACACACAAAAGGGAAACTATGGCATCCTGGACATGTACATCATCTTGGTCAAGGTAATCACTTCACAGTGTACATATATATCATTACACACTTTAAATATATACATTTTTGTCAATTATACGTCAACAAAACTGGAAAAAATGCAAAACAGAGGTGGCTTTATCTGATCTCACATCAAGAGGATGAAGCATTCAGCACATAAAGGCTGAAATTCTTCAATCTTGGATCTCTCTGCCCTGGAAGGACTATTAACAGCTCAGAGTTAAGTGTCCCCAACTTTGCTATGTCCCATCACTACCATTTATTGGCTAGCTGTGTAACCTTGGAAAATGACTGAACCTCTTGTTTCAGTTTCTTCACCTAGAGTTACTTTTTTTTGGAGACTGGGTCTCACTATGTAGTATAGACTGGCCTCCAACTCATGGTCCTCCCAGCCTCCCAAGTGCTGGGATTACAGACACATGCCAGCATGAATGGCTTTTACCTAAAGAGATTTAAAGAATGATTCTTCTTTGACTTTCTTCTGAGGCATTCATTTCAGCCAGTTTGTAAGGCAAGCTGACAAACCCACTGTGCTGAGTGCTTATGTGAGACATTCCCAGATAGTGTCCTTAATCATTTTTCTCCCCCTCCCCCACCCCCAAACAAAATATATAAAAACCCAGATTGGTTCAAGTGATCCTTCTGCCTCAGCCTTCCGAACAACTGAACTGCAGGTGTAATTAAAAGGTCATAAAGTGATGACTAAAAGGGAATTTTACCTGGCACTACAGGGAAATCATGACAGTGAATTCTAATCTTTTCTCATTATTTTTAGTTTTATTGGGTTGACAAGAAAAATGGAACTGCTTGAGGCCAGTGTTTTAGAATTTGAAGTCACCAGATGCCAGTGGCTCATGCCTATAATGCTAGCCACTTGGGAAGTTGAGCTCAGGAGGATGGCAGTTCCAAGCCAGCCCAGGTAAACAGTTTGTGAGACCCCATCTCCAAAATAACCAGATCAAAATGGACTGGAGGTGTGGCACAAGCAGCAGACTGTCTGCTTTGCAAGCAAAAGGCCCTTAGTTCAAACCCCAGCCCCACCCCTCCAAAAAAAAGGAAAAAGAATTTAAGAGGTCAATTTAAAAGGCAGTCCCTAAAATCAATCACTCCCCAAGGCTACGGTTTTATGATAAAAATACTCAAATGTTATGCTGATGTTACAGATTTTAAAAAAGTAGCATATAACTCAACATATTCTATACATAATATGAACCAGTGGGCTTGGCCTATGGCTTCTAAAAGAAAAATTGGCCAAAAATATTAACTTAGCATTAAAGTCTCTGTTAGGTTTTCAGAGAGGATTTGAAATACATATATCTGCGAATGGCAAATCTGTGAGAGACTGAAAGAATCTAAAGTACAGATAGATTCACCAGGGCTGTTAGAGTAACACATTTCCCACAAACTCTTCTCCACTATCAAAATCTCCTACAACTGACTTGGGCCTCCAGTAAACATTAGTTGTAGAAGTTATTTCTATTATTGGAGTTAATAAAAAATATTTGGGTCAGGCCCAAATTGCACCTGTAATCAAATTACAGTAAGATTATGCCTGTAATCCTAGCTATTCAGGAGGCAGAGATAAGGAGCATGGAGGTTTGAAGCCAGACCCAACAAACAGTTCATGAGACCGTATCTCGAAAAAAACCCATCAAAAAAAGGGCTGGTGAAGTGGCTCAAGGTGGAGGCTCTGAGTTCAAACCCCAGTACTGCAAAAAAGGGCTGGTGGAGTGGCTCAAGTGGTAAGAGCACCTGCCTAGCAAGCGTGAGGCCCCGAGTTCAAACCCCAGGACCCCACCCCTCAAAAAAAAATGGATCTGGTGACTGTTTTTTTATGATGATTTGATTAATCATCATGTCTTAGAATGCAATATAACTGCTCTCCAAAGACTTATTTCTGTAATAATGGCTCTCCATTGGGGAGAAGCAACAATTTTATCCCCTAGGGGACATTTGACTATCCAGACACATTTCTGGTTGCCAAGTGGAGAGGGGGGTTGCTACTGGCATCTAGTAGGTAAAGAGATGCTACTAAACATTCCACTTTGCACAGGACAGCTGCCCACAGCAAGGACTCATCTAGTCCTAACGTCAGCAATGCAGAGGTTGAGAAACTGGTCTATAATAAACTACAAATATAAATTACTAATAAATACCTCACGCCTGGACTGTGTTTCCTAGTTAAATCTGTAACTGTATATGCTCTTAATCCCCAAAAATTAACCAAAGAATTCACAAATATATAGTAACACAAATTCAAATCAGTAATCAAAAATAAATATTATGCCAGGCACCGATGGCTCACGCCTGTAATCCTAGCTACTCGGGAGGCAGAGGTCAGAAGGATCACGGTTGGAAGCCAGACTGGGCAAATAGTTCGCAGACCCTATCTTGAGAAAACCCTTCGCAAAAAAGGGCTTGCGGAATGGCTCAAGGTGTAGGCCCTGAGTTCAAACCCCAGCACTGCAAAAATAAATAAATAGTATGAGGAGTCTGTTTTCATTTCCTGCCTGGGAACGGAAAATGTTTTTCCTCCACCCCCGCCCCCCATACTTTATCCTGTTATATAAAAATAAATCCTTGCTAACCCTAAAAATAAATAAATAAATATTGTAAAGCTATTATACACTAAGCTATGCCTGTGTACTCCTGAAGAAGAACAGTTTTCAAGGTACAGGGGAAAAATCTAATTTAGGGCTCAGAAACCCAATCTCCTTTCACAGTGTTCTAATGATACAAATTGAAATTCCAAGAGCTCTGAAATCATTCAAGTTCCAAATGAAAACAGTAGAACCTACATGCTCTCAACTATCAGTGTTAGTCTCTACTGAAAGTGCAAGAAGAGTATGGGAACAAAAACATTAATTGCAAGCCGGGTATTGATGGCTCACACCTGTAATCCTAGCTACTCAAGAAGCACAGATGAGGAAGATGGAGGCTCAAAGCCAGCCTCAGGGAAATAGTTCTCTAGACGTATCTCAGAAAAACCCATCAGAAAAAAAGGGCTCGTGGAGTGGCTCAAGGTGTAGGTCCTGAGTTCAAGCCCCAGTACTGCCAAAAAAAGACACTAATTGCAGCCTAACTATAATACTCCTTCTTTAATTTTCTTTGTTTAATTCCATGTTTTAATTCTGTCATTCAAGAAAACTTATCTGCAGAATCAGTCACAAAACCAGAGTTCATCCAAAGGTAAACAGTTTTGCTTTAAAATTTCCACTGACCCAACATACCAAAAACATGTAACATTTTAAACACAATGAAAAAAACACCTAAAATCCAAAGAGATGGCTGCTCTTTTATCTTTTCAGTTTCTAAGCAAATAGATCACATTCACCATCTTGCCCCTACACAAACACAATTCAGAGGACAGAAAAATGTTCATGCAACTCACAATTCTGTCTGATCCGTAGATCTTTTCCAACTGTTCTGCAATATCCCTTGTTCCATCTGGGCTTCCATCATCTATGATTATAATTTCATAGTTGATTTCACTAAAATTAAAAAATTAACTTGTATTAATGTTTGGAGACAGTGTCTTAAGCTTAAAAATAATTTAAAAATATTAATTCCTCCTTAGCTTAAGTGGAGATTTACTGCTTTATTAGTCCACTTTTTTTTTTTTGTGGTACTGGGGCTTGAACTTAGGGCCTTCACCTTGAGCCACTCCACCAGCCCTTTTTTTGTGATGGGTATTTTTGAGATAGGGTCTCACAAACTATTTGCCCAAGGTGGCTTCAAACCTCCATTCTCCTGATCTCTGCCTCCTGAGTAGCTGGTGAGCCATTCAGCTAGTCCACAATGTTTGATGGCTAAATACTGCACAGAAGGCATTATCACTATCAAGTCTCCTCTCCTGGCTCCCTTCTCCAAGACTTCAGGAAGGTTAAGGTGAAGACGAGGCAACATTGTTTCTGCTTGATCTTGTTTTAAATACTTGCAAGGAAATCAACCAGAAAACACATTCTGCTGTTAAAAAGACTTTAAAACAGCTCTAGCAAAACTGAACAAAAACCAATTTATTCTTCAAGAATAGACTTCAGCCTCCCACTGTGCCTTAACTTTGAAAACAGCTCATGTCAAAACATGCAAGATGTTAATTCCAGTAGAATGCTGAATGAGGTCTATTTCCTAAACAAAATGGAGCCATTCATAAGCAAAATTACTCCTCTCCCCACTTTAAATGTGTAAAACCAGAATGCAAACCAGGAGCAAGATCTGGCTACAGGATTGTTAATTTCCCTTATTTGGCAAAAGCGTGCAGAATCAAATGAAAAAGATAATTAAATAAAAAATTTATGAACTAAACTTTGAGGGGGCCACATATGTGCATATAGTTATTAAAGAAATACAAGGAAGATGGGCGCTGGTAGCTCACCCCTGTAATCCTAGCTACTTGAGAGGCTGAGAACAAGAAGATGGAGAGGTTCGAGGCCAGCCTGGGTTTCTAACACCCCATATCCAAAACAGCCAGAGCAAAAATGGACTGGACGGTGTGGTTCAAGAGGTAGAGCACCTGCTTTGCAAGTGTAAAGCCCAGAGTTCAAACCCCACTCCCACCACCACCACCACCAAAAAAAAAAGCAATGGTTTTCACCAATATTTCCAACAATGCTAGTTCAATAATCCTCTGGTTAGCAGGATGTATTAGTGTTTGCTACAACATTCATTTAATAAAGAAAAATTCTTGGCTAGTGCAGGTTGTGTAAAAACTCACCACCAGTCAGGGTTTTTGTTTTGTTTTTTTTGTAATAGTTTTTTTCGAGATAGGGTCTTGGTAACCATTTGCCCGGTCTGGCTTCGATCTCTGCCTCTTGAATAGCTATATTAGAGGCGAGAGCCACCGTCGCCCGGCTTAAGTACTTTTCTAACTGCTGGAAATACGGAGGGAACAAAGTCCTCATTCTCGTTCGTCAAGCAAAAGCCAAACAAAAAACTAGAAATAATCTGTGTCCACTGACGTGATGGAGCTAAATACTAACACAGCAATATGAAATCCTACTTTTCAAAATAATGTGTGATGCTTCAAAGATTTTTTTCACAGCATGCCCCCACTGGTCTAGCCGCAAAACAAGTTACCCTGTACTGATACCAGGATTTTCTGAAGTTTTAGAAAAATTGCGCAACAATTCTAAACTCAAACTTCAAAATTACGGTTGCTAATTAACCACCACACCAAACATCCGACCGTGATTGGCGAGGACGCCCTTCTCCCTCCTTTTCAGATAGGTTTCCTAGCGGTAGCTCCCTAACCCATGCTTACATAAGCACTGGCACTGGGGCGAGGTCTCCCGGCCTCCGCGGCAGATCGTGACCACCCGAAAACGAGTGAAGCCACGCTCCCATATAAAACGGGGGCGGCACTTCTAAGAAAAAGGTGCGCGGGGGGGGGAAATCTATGATAAAGACAACTGAGTCTCACGAAGCCCAAGAGAACCCAGGACCCAAAGAGAACCCACGACCCAGAGGGAACCCGAGAATGTCGGCTTTCACTTTCCTCGAGCCCTCCTGCGTGAGCTGGGAAAAGGCCCGGCAGGGCCGCCTCGCGCAGCCAACGGCCGGCAGCCAGGCCGCGAAGCCAACTCATGTCATTCTTCGGGGAGGGCGGCGGGGCGCTACCTCTCGGAGAAGCTCTTCACCAGCAGCCACACGATGAGCGGCAGGTTCTCGCGCTCGTTGTAGGTGGGCAAAAGCACCGAATACTTGTCCTGTCGTGGGGAGCGCCCCTCCTGTTCCCGCCGAGACCTGGGAGGACTACGACCGGTCTTCCTGGAGGCCATGGCGGAACTGCTCGAGGTGCCGGAGGCGGAATTACGTCAACTGAGTGCGGACCGTACCAAATTCGAAAAGAGGGGGATGTCGCTGGGACGGAGTTCTAAATCTTCTAGGGCCTCAGTACGATTCAATCGGAAATACCTAGGATTTATTTTTTTATTTGAATCGGAAGGTTTCTTCAGGAAATATCTATCTATTCATCACCTTACCCCAAGCTCCATGAATTTTTTTAGTTTATTCCAATCGCTAGGCGACAGCAAGCCGGAAGCGGAAGTTCTTGTTACGCCAATTTCCGGAAAAAGTCGCCATGGCTGCCCTGGAGGACATACTCGCCTTACAGGCTGAAGTTGCCCAGCGTGAGAAGCAGCTGGATTCCCTCAAGCAGAGGCTGGCGGCGGCTCTTCTAGCAGAGCAAGAGCCAGAACCGGAACGGCTGGCTGCAATGTCGCCGTTGCCGCCAAAGCCTTCCCTGTCCCGAGATGAGATCCTGCGCTACAGCCGGCAGCTCGTGCTGCCGGAGCTGGGCGTGCAAGGACAGCTGCGCTTGGCGACCGCGTCTGTGCTAATCGTGGGCTGCGGTGGACTCGGCTGCCCGCTGGCGCAGTACCTGGCAGCAGCCGGCGTGGGCCGCCTCGGCCTTGTGGACTACGACGTGGTAGAGGTGAGCAACCTGGCCCGCCAAGTGCTGCACGGCGAGGCCCTGGCCGGCCACGCCAAAGCCTTTTCGGCCGCCGCCTCGCTGCGCCGCCTCAACTCGGCAGTGGAATGTGTGCCTTACGTGCAGGCCCTCACGCCGGCCACCGCGCTGGACCTGGTCCGCCGCTACGACGTGGTGGCCGACTGCTCGGACAACGTGCCCACTCGCTACCTGGTTAACGACGCCTGCGTGCTGGCCGGCCGGCCTCTGGTGTCCGCCAGCGCCTTGCGCTTCGAGGGCCAAATCACAGTCTACCACTATGCCGGCGGGCCTTGCTACCGCTGCGTATTCCCCCAACCCCCGCCGGCGGAGACAGTGACCAACTGCGCGGACGGCGGGGTGCTCGGTGTCGTGACAGGAGTTCTAGGCTGCCTGCAGGCCCTGGAAGTCCTGAAGATCGCTGCGGGTCTGGGTCCCTCCTACAGTGGCAGCTTGTTGCTCTTTGACGCCCTCGGAGGCCTTTTCCGCTGTATTCGCCTGCGGGGGCGCAGGCTTGACTGTGCAGCTTGCGGGGAGCGGCCCACGGTGACCGACCTGCAGGACTATGAGGACTTCTGTGGCTCCTCAGCCACCGATAAGTGCCGCTCCTTGCAATTACTGAAGCCCGAGGAGCGGGTTTCTGTGACCGACTATAAGCGACTGCTGGATTCCGGGGCACCCCACCTGCTGCTGGACGTCAGGCCCCAAGTGGAGGTGGACATCTGTCGCTTGCCTCATGCCCTGCACATTCCTTTGAAACATTTGGAACGGAGGGATGCAGAGAGCCTGAAACGCGTACGCGACGCCATCCGGGAAGTGAAGCGGAGCACAGAGGAAGGGGCCGCCCTTCCCCTCTATGTGATTTGCAAACTAGGAAATGACTCCCAGAAGGCCGTGAGGATCCTGCAGTCCTTAGCAGCAGCCCGAGAGGTAGACTCTCTGACAGTTCAGGATGTCGTCGGGGGCCTCATGGCCTGGGCTGCCAAAATCGATGGCACGTTCCCACAGTACTGACGTAACTGGTAGAGTCGACCTGGATTGCTAGGGTACCCAAGATACGTTCATTCGCATTTCTTCAGTAACATAGACAGGAGCCGGGGTTTCTCCAGTATCTGTGACTATATGGACTCCTTTTATAAATAGCTTTTTATGTCTTTTTGTTGTTTTATTGCGGGGCTGAGATCAAACCCAGGACCTGGCAAATGTATGGGATGACTGAGTGGATTATAGTAGTTACCACCTTGTGTTTTCAGCCTTTGGAAGGGGGTCTTGAACATGTCAGATATAATGGGACAGGATTGGGTTTTGTTGTTTTTGTTTTTTTTGCAGCACTAGGGTTTGAATTCAGGGCCTCATACTTGCTAGGCAGGTGCTGTACCACTTGAGCCATTCTGCCAACCCGGATTTTGTATTTTACATGGCAGATCATTTATTTGTCTTGCTTCCCCCCCACCACCTCTCTTAATCAAACAACTATCTCAATAGGCCACTTTACCTATTTTCTGTGAGTTTTTTTTATTTTTGTTTTGTTTTGGTTTTTTGCAATGCTGGGTATTTATTTAACCCAAGGCCTCACATATGCTAGGCAAGTGCAGAGTGGCTTGAGTGGTAGAGTTTGCCTAGCAAACACAAGGCCCTAAGTTCAAACCCCAGTACTATACACACACAAAAAAAGATGTACTAACTTAAGTCTAACCAAATTGTTCACAGATGGTATGCTTGTGTTCAGTTTATTGTTTAGTAAGATGTCCTTTGGACCTCATTTCTACTGGAAATGACAACATGTCCTTCAGAGTAAGTATGAAATAGTCAACGAATAAACATTTTTAATTAATATCAAAGTGAGATCTTTATACTTTGGCAAAATAAAAGAAACCGCCTTGGTAGCCTATCACTTTCCCTCATAAGTTGTTAATATTTTCTTACAGTTAGCTTCAGAGTCCACTTATGTTGTACACACATAACATTTGCTAAACATGTAGTGTGGTTTAACTTGCTTCAGAATCTTCAGTCTTTTACCCAGCCTTTTGCCTCTCCCTTTAATTTGCTTCTTCTATTTTGATTGAATCTCTTTTAGTTCAGCATTTTTACAGCAGTGTACAATGTAGGTGTTCTTATGTTTACTTATTTAAAAATAGCTTCAAGAAATGGCAGTCTACCCAGCTTCCATTACGTACAGCAAAATTAAAAGTGAGCTGACACCATGGCTCATGCCTATAATCCTAGTTACTCAGGAGGCAGAGATGAAGAGGATCTAGGTTCAAAGCCACCCCTGGCAAATAATTCTCAAGACCCTATCTCAAAAAACCCATCACAGAAAAGGGCTGATGGAGTGGCTCAAGGTTGTAGGCCCTAAGTTCAAGACCCAGTGCTGAAAAAAAAAAAAACACATTGTAGGTAACTTGTAACTTCCCCTTGGAACCTGTGCCTAACAGTACAGTGTGCTGTTCTCTGTTAGGAAGTTGGAGCAGGGCTCTTCTGTATACTTCTCCCAAGGACTTAAGAAAAATGAAGTGGAAAAGGGAGACACTGGCTGTGTCTTTCAACTAGTTGTTCAGGGAAAGCTGATTGTGATGCACATCAGGAAACATGATAAACTAGAAACTGTTTCCTATTTTAAAGACTGATGTCCTCTGCTCAGGCAGTTGTAGTTCCTGCAAACCTAGTTGTCAGTGGTTCAGGCCTCAGAAGCTGGCTGAGCTGATTAAGTAGGAAAGGGCTTATCAAAGTGACAGAAGGCTTTTTTTTGAGGATTTGGGGAACAGACTCAAGACTATACTTTGAGGAGTGATGCCCCAGAGTATGTTAGAACTAGGCACATGAGTAGCTTATTTTGCACTGTCCCATCAGGCCACCACAGGCACTGGAGCCTTAGACACTGTACTATGAACCACAAGGGTGTCAGACAGAGCCTGGCCACAGCTTGCATCCTAGCTGCAGTAGAGTCTGGAAATTTGAATTCTGAGGTCTGCAGTAGAAAGGCAGAACTGCTGTGTGGTTTTCCCAAATAATGGAAGACTTTTTGAAAGGTTATGACAAATAACCAGTATAAAACTTAAATCCCTTTTAGATTTGAAATTTGTTTTCTGTGAGAAATGTGGCTAGGTTTTTACATTTAGGTAGGATTTGAACTTGATGTTTTTCTTTTTATTTAACAAGTATTCGAGTACCTTTATGTTCTAGTTATTTTAAGCTGTGGGATAAAAATGAACAAGACATTTCCTGTTGCCGTGGCATTTGCATTTAAATAGAGACATCATAAGTAAATTAGCCATAGGTGCTGTAAAATAAATGAAACTGAAGTACTGGGGAGGGAAGGAGATTGATTTTGGACAGATTGATTAGGAGGGACCTTTTCTGAGATGACGTTAAACCCCAAACCTGATTGGTGAGGTGCCAGTTCTAAAAGAGAGCAATCCTACACTGGTGGCAAAAAACGAGTTAAATACTCTCAGGCAAATAAACTTGGATTTAGACTATTCAAGAAACTGCAGAGGCAAGTTGGTTATGAGAAACTGGGGAGGGTGTCAGAGTGAGGTTTGAGAGGTGAGGAACGTGTAAGGGTCACATAGGCTGCAGGCCACCATGTCTGAGTCTGGATTTTAAGTAAAATCACAGCTGACGTGTGGAGCACTTCCTGGGTTCTTTGGGATTTGAATCCACGGGCTGTGGCTGAGGAGCACTGCCACTGTGCTCTATGTAGTGGCCAGTCCGAGCTACTTAGTTTGAGGAAGGTGGGAAGCAAGTGTCAACCGAGAGTCAGCTGGTTAATTGAAGGGTTGCCAGGGTGGACAGAGGTCAGAAAAGGACATTCAGTCTTCTGAGGGTGTTCCCCCAGGCTCATTTATTTTTAATTAGCTGCTCTTTCCAACAGAGCAAAGGGTTCCTTCAGGGGGTCCGCAGGCACTTGAGGTGATGTACATGGTCCATCTTGCTCTACTAACTTCTCTGCGTCCCTTATTTAAGCTGCAGAAGTCCAGGTAACACTAAGATCTTGTCATTTGAGGCCATGTGTCGTCGGGAGACTGTGGGGTAATGCTGGAGTCAGGTCAGAACATTTGGAAAGCTATTACAGTATGGGAACAGGAAAGTGTGTCAAATAAAATGACAATGGAATAGAATGATAGAACAGTATGACTGATAAGTGTGTGTGAGACACAGGGACGTGTGAGAAAAACTAATTAAGCCAGCTCAGCATTTGGGGTACACAGTGCACACAGACAGTTTACTACGATGTCCTACGTGTTGACATCTTGGTTTCTAATACTCAGTTATTCACGACACAAGCAAAAATGCCTTCTCTAGGTGTTCTGTTCCTGCCTCCTAATGCCATCTTGGGGCAGGCTGCTGAAGGGAAAAGGGCTTATGTTGTAAAATTTCCCCTCTTGGTGGCACCTTGGTTTAAAAGGGGACAGAAGGGTGGTGATGGGAGATGTCATTTTTAATGACATTTACCCGGTGCTGCCAGATGAGGGAGGCCTTAAATGAAGTAGAACTTAGCGGGAAGAGGTTCAGGTGAGTTTGAAGAGACTTAAATCCAGCAAAGCCCCTGGCCCACTTCGGGTGAGAGCAAAGGGAAGGAGAGATTTTACAGTTTGGCCCTCATCACCTGCTGAGGCAGACAGTCATGGGTCTACCCAGACTCCTCCCTGCCCCCACCTTCCAGATGCACCTTTCCACATTCGAATAGCATGAGTCCACTTCTCACTGTCCCCACAGTGCTCTGACCCCCCCAGTCCGGCCATCATCTCTCCAGGGAGTTTCTAACTTTTCATGAAAACAATACCAAGAGCACTATAGATGTGAGGGCTGAACAAGATGACAAGAGGTACCTGTGTCGCAGAGACCATCACCTTAAGACACTAGAGAAATATAAGTATGTCCCTTTGATGTTCTTTACAGCAGTAAAGGAAAATAGGCCTCGTAGATCATGTTTCTCTGATGACACAAAAATTATAAATAACTGTTTTACACAGAGCTTAAAGCAAAGGACTGCAAATCAGTAGCAGCAGGACCAGGCAAGCAGAGTGAAGGAGCCGGCGGGGCGCACCTGTAATGACAGCACTCCAGAGACTGAGGCGGTGTTATTTTATATTGTGTAAATTTAATGTCATGTCAATCACTTGCAGTTGATCATTTCAGAAGACTAAAAAGTTGGAATAGGGGCTGATGGAGTGGCTCAAGTGGTAGGATGCCTACCTAGCAAGTACAAGGACCTGAGTTCAAGCCCCAATACCACCAAAAAAAAAAAAGTTGGAATAGTGACGCTACATTTGCTATCAGTCAATCTATTTTTTTCTTTTCCTAGTATTTTGGAGATTGTTTGTTGGTTTGGTTTGGTATTTATGAGAGAGCTTTGGTCTGTAGCTCAGACTGGCCTTGAATTCATTATCATTCTGTCTCACCCTCTCAAGTGCGAAAATAATAGGTGTGCACCACCAAGCAGGGCTTTCCTAGTATTTCTGTTTTGTTTTTTGACGGGGTTGGGGTTTCAACTCAGAACTTCATGCTTGCAAAGCAGGTATTTTTCCACTTGAGCTACACCTCCAGTCCATTTTCCTCTGTATTTCGGAGAAGGGGACTCAAAAACTATTTGTCCAGGCTGGTCTCCAATGGTGATCCTCCCAATCTCAGCCTCCCAAGTAGCTAAGAGTATAGCTGCTAGTCACCAGTGCCTGGCAATTTCCTGGTATTTTGGTGAATTGGTGTTTAAAAGTAATTTCTTAGAAAAATGTACCTGCAAAGTAGTCAGGTGAGGGTGGAGAGTGTAAGAGAAATGAGTCTACAAATGACACTTTTGGAAATTTGCACTTTTAGTGTTTTGGGCTGAATTAAACCCATAAATTAACCCCTAATGGCAGCAGGAAGGAACTAGTGGATTAGCTTTTAGAGATATTGAAAGATAGTTGATTCAAAATGGTTATCTAAAAAAAGATTTTATTGTCCTTTTAAACATTTCTAGCTTAAAGCAGCAAAATATGACCTCAAAGTATCAATCCTGTATAAGCATGGCCATATGGTTAGGCTGCACACACTCAGAGGGGTGTGTGTGTGAGACTGGACTTGAACTCAGGGCCACTTGAGCCACTTTCCCAGTCCTTTTTCCTTTTGCTATTTTTCAAATAGGGGCTCACGTTTATTCCCCAGGCCAGCCTGGACCTTGACCTCTACTATTTATGCTTCCTGAGTAGCTGGGATGACAGGTACACACCACCATGCCCCATTTTCTGTTTTTGTTTTTTTTGGTGGCACTGGGGGTTGAACTCATGACCTCACATTTGCTAAGCAGGTGCTCTGCCACTTGAGCCACATCACCAACCCTCATGCCCCACTTTTTATTGGTTGAGATGGGGTCTCCTGGAGTTTTGCCTGGGCTGGCCTCCAACCAGGATCCTCCTGTTCTCTGCCTCCTGCGTAGCTAGGATTACAGGTGCATGTTTAGGTTTTTAAAAGTAATTATTAAAAATAATTCATGCTCAAGATAAAATGTAAACAGTTCAAATGCAAGCAGACTAAATGCTCTGTGGTATCCTGGACTGGCTGCGGGGACAGAGCAAACAGGTGAAAAACAGGAAG